AGGAATCTGTTTTGAATTTTTCAAATGCCTTTGATTATTCCCTATGTTCAATAAATAATTTAAACTTTTTCACTTTAATTAAGAATATTCCCTACATAATATAGATACTGGTACCATTATAATATGAACTCTTTGTTGGCTACTGATGAAGGGGACAGAGCATGTAGGGGAATGAACTAAGCACAGCGATGTTCAGTTCTAGATTTATTAATTTAATGATTCTGTCTGTTCCAGCAGTATTCTATTGAGGCTAGTTGTTACTGTAAACCTCCCATTTCTGTGTACTTCTAAATTCTTTTGGACCCAAGGGGTTTAGCATTAAAGGCCCAAAGAATAGTCAAGAGAGATGTAAAATCTGCACATCTTGTGTTCACTGGGCTTCCAGGTGGGGACCTATGAAAGTATAATGTGTTCCTTGGGACTGAAAGAGTTAATACTTCTTCTTTTTTGCTGAGAATTGTCAGTTTCTCCAGATTCCCAAGATGTATTTACCCTAATAACACAACCTAATGACACAGAAGTTGTGCGATGCTAAGGTTGTACCACTTGATTAGAACAGCATTTGTATAACAACTAATGTAGTAACAGTTGGTATGGAAATAGTTAACTTGAGAAATTAATTGTATGCCAGACTGTGTAACAGTTAACCAAACCCTTTTTCTGTAAGCTAAAGTCACATGTTTGTAACATTGTACAAGAATCCAGTGCAAGTTCATGTGTGTGTCTTACATTTTAGTTTTGTACCATGTATTCATCATTTTGCCTGTCCATTTTGTTTTGATGATTTATTTGTGATCTATATTTTTCTGTCTTGAATGAAATAAAAAGCTGGACATCCCAAAACTTGTAGAATGTCCCATTTATCTGTTCTGTGTAGATTTTGATTTTAGTGTGTTTTTTGTCTGTTCTCTGTGTGGCTTTTGTCTGATCTCTGTGTGGCATTTGTCTGTTCTCTGCGTGTTTTGTCCATTTTCTTTGTGTTTTTTATCTGTTCTCTGTGTGGGGTTGACCTGTTATTTATGTGGCTTGTCTGTTCTTTGTGTGGCTTGTGTATGTTATTTATCTGTTCTCTATGTGGTTTAATTGTTCTCTATATGGCTTTATAGGTTTCATCTTCTTTGTGGTTATTAAATGTTCTGTGTGGTGGCTTCTATCTATTCTCTGTTAGGCTTTTCTCTGTTCTCTGTGACTTTTGTCTATGTGTGGTTTTATTCTGTTCTCTGTGTGGCTTTTGTTTGTTCTGTGTGGCTTTTATCTATTCTCTCTGTGTGTGTGTTTTTTTGGGTGTCATTTGTGTCACTATATCTTTCTTTTATGTTGGTTAACTCTTTCTAACTGCAGGCAAACACAATGCCTGACTAGTTGGTAAGAACAGCAGAAAGATGACATAGGACAGATAAATACACAGCAAAAGCAAGGCTAGAAGAGGATGGTGAAGGAGCAAGGAGCCGCAGTTTCTTATTAAGTCAACCACTAGACTTGGGACATCTTAAAGCAGGTTGTGTCTTTCTTAAGGTGTTCACTGTTTTGGTACACTTTAAAATGCTTGATATCTTTCGCATTTGAGACACCCTAAGTTAAGCAAGACACTTCTCAAGCTCACAGATCTTGGTAAGTCGTCTAGTGATGATCTTCGGTAATGTCAGCCACTATCTCTGGAACATCTTAGGTCACTCAAATTGTCACTTTCTTCTCATAACGAAGCTTCACCGATGTTCCTCGGCAAGGTGGTTACTGTTCTTAGGACATCTTAAGTCACTCACTGACTTTCTCCACTGGGACACAATGTAACACATTAAGTCAAGCGTTCAAGGACGTTTCTTAGTAACTCAACCACTATACCTGGGACAGCTTAAGTAATTCAATTTCTTTATCATTTTGGACATCTTAGACGCTTAATGTCTTTTCTTATTTGGGACACATTTAGTCACACCCTTCCTAAGTTGCTCACTGATCTTGCTAAGTAGTTGATGGAAGTTCTTTAGGAAGGCCAGCCACTATCCCTGGGTCATCTTAAAGTGTTCAGTGTCCTTAGCCTTCTTAAGCTGCTCAATGTCTTTCACATCTAGAACAGCTTAAGTCACTTGTTCGCTAACCTTTCTTGGTAAGCCATTAATTAGCATTGGTACTATTCAAGTCACTAAGATGTCTTTTCTGTTGGAGAAACACTCAATGTTTTGGTCCTTTGAGACATCTTAAATCACCCAATTAAGGCACAAGTCTTTCATCGGCTGTCCCTGACGAATCGGAAAAACAGTGACTTTTGGAAAACAGAAGGCGACTTTCAGAAAACACAGAGTGCCTTTAGAAAACCATGAGGTGACTTTTAGAAACTAGAAGGGACTTTAAGAAGACACAAGGCAACTTTTAGAAAATACAAGGCAACTTTAAGAAACTTTGAGAAAATAAAGGTGACTTTTAGAAACCAGATGGTGACTTTTAGAAAACACAAGATGTTTAGAAATGTGAATAAGTGACTTTACCTTACTGTATACATACAAAGCATGTTGATGGTTCTTCAAGGCGGCTATTATCTCCGTCTGACCAACTACTCATCCTATCAACAGCCTGTCCGACAAAACTTTTTCCTATAGTCACCCACCTAGTTGTATCATAAATGACTGCGAGTTTTCATACAAATTGAAAGGGACGATTCTGAAAGTCTGCCCGTCTGACCTTCAAATTGTCCTCTCAACTAGATTGTACTTATTCATGATGCTTGTATGTGTGTGCGCACACATTTTGTGTGTGGCTGTGTGTGTAAATGTGTGTGTGTGTGTAAATATATAGATATGTGTGTGTAAGCTATGGTAAACTACTGAACATAAAATTTGCCTTAAAAAACCACAACAGCTAAAAAAAAATGCTGGGGTTGGTTCTGCAATGTCCTGTGAGGGATACACAACTTTTGTGTGTGTGTGTGTGTGTGTGTGTGTGTGTGTGTGTGTGTGTGTGTGTGTGTGTGCGTGTGCACACACACTTTACATGAATACATCACTATCATTAAGTGCCTTGTTGAATGGCATGTGCAGTCATGCCTCTCCAAAACCTGGGATCTCAAACTACATATATCAATCAGTTCATGTGCCAACGCTCCTCAGTGTCATGACAAAAGGCTGTCAAGAATCTTCTCACATTGTCTTTCTCTGTCACATTGTCTTTCTCTGTCTCTTTATTTCAACAGAACCCACACACCCATCACAAAAACAGTCACTGAAATATGTAATACAAGACGTTCTGTCAACAGAAGAGTATAATGGAAGAATAAGAAACAACTAAATATCAACATCTCAGCAAGGTTAACGTCCGGCCAGGATCTTCTATTGCATCATCATCATCATGTGTCATGCGGGTAAGCGTAGGCTGTCATGTTTTGCCTTCTCACATAAACAGCAGATTCACAGATCAGGTCAATGATTTTGTCTCGCCCTCATCCACACGGCCAAACCATCAGGTAGGAATCTCTGTACCTTCCTCTTACTCTCTTTCCATCAGTCAGGCTAGCTGTTACCAAATTCTTGAGTCCATCCCTTCTCATAACATGTCTCAAAGCACTGACTGCCAATGTATGATTGTTTGAATAAGTTTACAACTTTTATCTGTCTCGATGAGAACTACTTCAATTGTTTTCTGTCACTCCATGATATCTCTGTATTTACAAAAGCCATTTCACACAAAGGACACATTTAACAAACAAGAGTTACAGAAATGTGTTAGACCTTTGAATAAAAATGGATGGATAAAATGCCAAGTCGAGAAAAAAAAATGATGTGAACTCAAGTCAATTAATACAAACTCAAAAATTGTCTTGAAAACTGTTAAAATAAATTTGTTTTTCTATATTTAAAAAAATAAGTTGTGTCCTAATTTGTATTATGTGAATAATATAATTTGTAAGCTATATTTGTATAGTTAACATGTAAATAAAAATGCATAAACTGACTACGGAGGTCAGGGGTTACATAAAACATTTTTCCTTACTCATAAACACAGACCTTTACTTGGGCATGTTTTTCAGTGAGTCAGTAAGTTTGCTCAGAAAGATCAAGATGGGCTGCGCTCAAAGATAATAGCTCTGAGCTGGTCACAGTGAAGCAATTAGTTTTATTTTTGTGCCAGAGTGTAGAGATCTAAAAAGAAAACAAACAAATTGATAGGCTTGAGGTCAGGGCATAGACAAGCTGATAGGCTTGTAGTCAGGGCACAGACAAGCTTTCAAGCTTTGGGTCAGGGCACAGAGAAACTGACAGGCTTGTAATCGGGGCACACACAAGATGATAGGTTTGGGTCAGGGTTTTTGTGGAAAATGAACTTGCAATGGACAAGGCTGATATATAGAATGCTTTTTGACAAGCAAATAAAATTCTTCAAAGCACCAGATTCTTTGTTTATATACATGTTTCTTTGTTTATATATATTTGTCTTTGTTTATGTACATGTTTGTTTGTTTATATATATTTTTCTTTGTTTATGTACATGTTTCTTTGTTTATATAATTGTTATAGGTTTCTCAATCATACTTTTGACCAAACATTGTATACCTTCAGTACAGCTGCAGAATCAATAGCTTGATCTAAGTCCTTGTGCCTTCTCCGAGCTGAAATTTGACCTAAAATGGCATCATTTAGAAACTCTAGACAACATCCAAAAGGCCACTGCTTTGATAAGAACACCTTCTCATGAGTGGAAGCACAGCTGCCAGAAGTGGCAGAAACATCTTCACAATGTGTCTGGTTTCCCAAGAGAATCAATCTCCCACCCTTTCTCCTTCAATCTCCACTTTCTAGTTTTTTTCTCTCTGTAACTCTCTCCTTCACTAACATACATCATATAATGTGTAATCTCTAAGTGCAGACAAAATACATAAAAATATTGATAATATTTGCAGCAATCTATAAACAATGCTTGTGTAGCCAACAACAAATCATAAGTTCATGGAAACGCAAGTCATGTGGTTACTGCCGACTGCATGCTTTCTCTTCTTAGGGATTTGACTTTCACTACAGATTTGGGTTGTTAAACATGGGATTGTGATACTGTGTGTTGTCTGGGAGACTGACTGTGTCTCCACTTTCATCCTCGTTGATCTTCGAGAATGTGATTTTGCACTGTGAGTCCTGCGGAAGAAATAAATTGTTTTTGTATCTGAATCATTCACAGCTTTTTTGTTTTCTTATGTGCAGATCAGTAGAGCTTTTTAAAATAAGTTATCTTCTGTACTAATTTCTCCCCCCCCCCCCCCAATTGAATTCACACGCACGCATGCACTCACGCACACACACACACACACACACACACACACACAGATATATATATATATATATATATACATACACATAAACATCAGGCGTTTCAGTGTACAATTTTTAGTATTAGCCACAAAAATCAAACAATAAGAAGCCACCTCCCCAGTGAAAGTTGGCTGTCCCAGATCTCCAATACACTCAGTTTTTCACCCTGGATGTACACTCTATCAGGCTGTTGTTTATCAATCTCTTGAAGATATCATCCCACTTGTATCCATATCTGCCTCTTGCTGGCTTACACTTAACTTTTCCCTCTACTTTTTGAGTATAATTATTTTTAATATAACAACAATATTTCACCTGTCTTTTTTTATTTTTAAATTTTAACCCCCATAATGTTATGCAGTTCACATTTCTAAACTCTAAAAAAAAAAGTTAACAAAATTAAGAAAGATAGCTGACTTACAGGGGGTGCTTGCCGGAACAAATAATGTCGTTTCTTGTAGATGATGATAGCAAGCAGAGCCACAAGTACCAGAGTAACTGCTGCAGCCAAACCGGCTATCAGAGGATTTGACTGGATGAATAAATAATTTATTTCCAAAGAATTACCCAGAGCTTTAAAAAAATCTGGTCATTATTAGATTTGTTTTTTATAAAGGTCTGCTTTCAATGTAGCAGGTACTTTTATACATACCCCAGTACCTTCACACTGGTTGGCTAGTTAGTAAATCACTTTTGTTGATCTACAGGAACTGAAAGGAGAGTGAGTTAGTATGCTGGTCAGTTTGGTGGGTGGGCTCTGGGCAGCACTTGAGATTCGGGAAGTTGGGGGGGGGGGGGCGCGACAAGTAGTTAACCAGATCACAACGGCTACGATCAGTATGAAGAATCTTTGATGGCGAGATGAGGGGCAGGATGGAGCTAATATTTGCTTGTCCTAAATGCTGTGATGTCGAATTTTTACTGAGATTAAAACCCAGATGGGTGAGTGGGTTAGCTCAGTTGGGTGTGATAACTGGTTGGTCAGTTGATTAGTTTGATAAGTTGGTCAGTTGGATGATGAATTGGTTGGTTTGGTTAATTGGTCAGTTGGGTAAATGGCCAGATAATAAGAATACCACTAAAAGAGGAGAAGATCACATACCTCGGAGTAACGTTTGATGATAGGTTAACACGGAGAAAAAACATCAAGGCAGCAACCAAAGTCAGAAGGAAGACAGCTTTCCTAAGAGAACTGAGTAGAACAACATGGGGTGCCAATGGGAAAATACTTAGGAAAGTTGAACAAATTGTACAAGCACACCTTGAACACCGGTCAACTGGATGGAATTCAGCATCAGAGACTGACAATGAGTCTCCTCCTGATCCAGTGCTAAAGTATCTTCTCTAGAGGGACAGTAATGCAGAGTTTCCTCCCTTTCATTTCTGAAGGCTCAAAACCCAGAGAGGAATGTAAGGGTAGGGGAGTGCAGAAACTTAGATCTACATAGCTAAGGTAAAGGACTTTTTCAACATCTTCTGGTATTTGAGGCTCGACCTATATTTTATAGACCAATCTGCACTTGCAGATGGCTTCCATATCTACATAGTTGTGTATCCTTTACAGGACATTGCAGAACCAACCCCAGCATTTTTTGGCTGTTGTGGTTTTTCTAGGCAAATTTATGTCTGGTAGTTTGCCATTTCTTTCTGGACACAGAGGGTTATTAAGTCATGATGAAATAAAATTGAGAACTCTTCTCCTTCTTTACTTCCTCTTTCCCCACTTCAAGTGTCGAGGGAGATTTAAGGTTCAGGTTCTTGCTCTTCTGGTCACTTCAACCACAAACATATTGTACTGTAAGAACTCTATAACAGCAGCAAATATCCAGTATTATTGACTTCTAGGAATAATAATGTGGTTAATAGTTTTCTTGGCAGTAGGTTTTCTCATGTCTCACCAGTGTCTTATTTGGCCTCTATCATCGTTGTATTGAGTCTTGACAAATTCCATGTTCTTTCATGTATGTCCACATAATCTCATTCTTTGGTATCAGATCAGTTTTCCTGATTATAATTTTGCATGGCACCAATTTAGAGCAACCAGTATCATTTATCCCAGTCTGTCCCTGCCTCAAACACCACTGTAGAAAGTTTAAACTAAAAAATAAATAGTTAACACAGTAGCCAAGTCTTTTTATGCATGTGGCTAGACTTATATTTGAAAAGCCGGATCAGCAATTGCAGTAGAAGTTGTAAAATAATTGGTTTTTGAGTGCATACACAAACACTATAGTAAGAAACACATTCAACAAAACAAAATATTTAATCATAGTTCTTAAAAGGACACATGTGACCACAATATCTCTGTTGACTTACATGAAAATTTGCTTTTTCAGTTTTGATTGATTTCAAAACTTGAGGATAGTCCTATTTTAGAAACAAAATAAAATGTATGTGTTAGACTCTCTAGAAGCAAAGATTTAAAAAAAAAAAAGCACCACTGAAATGTAACAGCTAGAAAAGGTCTAAATGGAATAACTCTGAGCAAACCGAAAGAGAGAGAAAAGTGTGGAGAAAATAATGCTATGGTTGTCCGAACAATAATTTCTTTAATTGTTTCTGAAAGTATTGTCCACAAACTCTTGGAGACTTCAGAGTTCAATTCAAGAAGGCCTTGATAATTTAAAGTTAGTGCTTCTTCCTGGCAACAAAGTGGCCTTGTCACAGTACATAACACAGGCAGGATAATCTTCCCCTCTGGCCAGCTCACCTCAGGGTTATAAAAATTGGTACCAGAAAATATTCAGAATTTTCTAAGAATATTCTCAGAAGGCAAGGTCATGATGAAAGGAACTGATCACTCCACATCATAACCATGGCATAGAATAAGTAAAATGACTCTTTCACCACTTTCATTACCCTTAGAAAGATAGGATGTTCTGAGGATTTTGGAAGCAATGTGTCTACATCACTGCTAAGAATATGCGAATTGGGAGTAAAGATCAGCACAGCCAAGCATGAGAAGCACACTGGATGCATACAAAGTTTTGTTAACCAACATAGGACTGGTACTATTAACAGCACGACTCTGATTAATATGTTCAGAGGGGAATCTGAGCGCCTATGGATGTGTCCAGAGTGCTGTGAAGAAAATCTAACTCATAACTCAACTCATAACTCAAGTAAAAGACTCACCTTTACACTTAAATGGCAGTGCCTGCTATGAGATGATCTGCACTTTTTAACCACTAGGTTGGGGTTTAGATTTAGATGATGGATCAACATCATGGCACAAGGGTAATAACCCATAAGTGCTCTGTTCTGCTCCGTCCAAAGAATTTTGACACAGTGTACATTCTTTGTAAATCTGGCAAGGATCCTGAATTACTTTGGGTAGCTATTTAACTCAAAATTTTGCCCATGCAGTGCCGTTAGGCTACTCTATTTTTTGGATTTGCAACTGCCAAAGGATTTTTTTTAACTCCACAACAATACACACGGGATTCCAATCTTACTACCCAGAGACCAAAGAAAATTACTAGAAGTCCACGTGAAAAAATCCTGGCCTTTACCGGGGCATGAACCCAGGACCTCCAGCACTCGAGGCAGACACCATGCCTGGAGACAATGCATCATCATCATCATCATGTAGCAGGTCCTTTGCAGAACGTCGCTCTCATCACAGTCTGTCTGAAAGAAACTCGGTCTATCGCCAGTTCTCTGGCCTCATGCATTTTCACATTCAAGGAGTCACCTTATCCTGTGCCCATCTTCGTGTCGGTCGGCCCCTGCTCCTCCTTCCTGGTACCATGCCTTCTGCTATAATTTTTTCCAATCCGACGTGGCGCTTGATATTACCAAAATATTTCAGCTTTTGAGAAAGGATGCTGTTTATTAGCCAATCTTTCTTGATGTTCAGATCTTTTAAGATATCAATATTTCTCATCTTCTTTGTCCAAGATATTCTGAAAATCTTTCTATAACATTTAAGCTCAAAAGCCCCTATTCTCTTTCTCAAGGACTGAGAGATAGTCCACGGCTCACATCCCTACGTAGCCACAGGGAAGATGCATGCTCTCAAAATTCTAATTTTGATCTCCTTGCTGGTGCTTAACCATAGACTTTTAAGGCTGTTCAATCTGTGCATTGCTATGGCCATCCTCCTTTTAATTTCTGTCGAACAGTCTCCACTGTTGTTTATTATAGAGCCTAGATATTCAAAGTTTGTGACAATTTCAATTTCTTCATCATTTATTGTTATTTTTGGGTGACAGCCAGTTTTATCTGTAGACATTATTTTGTTTTCTTTCGAGACAATGCAGCCCCCTTTTATCGCACTGCCAACACAGAATGGACACATTATGGATAAAGCATGGATACAATAGCACATTTACTTACAGAACTTGCCAGTGGTGCCACAGTCAGATGAAGAACTCCATTTAAGGTCTGTATATTTCCTCGGACAATTCTCACTCCATTTACCAGATACTAGGAATGGGAAATCACACAGACTTGTCATTTACATGATCTTTATACAATGCTTAATTCTGTTCACAAAGAAATGCCTTTATTGCCCAAAGTATCTCTAGAAATGCTCAGTCTCCTCCAGTAAACTACATGGTCCCCACACTGGCACCAGGGCTGCTTGCAGAGGTTTAAAAAAACTGCCCACACAAAAAAAAAACGAAAAAAAAACCTGTAGGTAACGAAGACTGAGGGTGTATTCTTCAAAGTCACATTGCATCTGCCTGAGAGGTGAGGAACCAACAGTCTGCATACTGAAAAGTCAGATCAGTTAAATGGATGTAAAAGCAAAACTCAAGTTCCAGAACAACACTAAAGTCCAGAAGAAGGGGAATAACCAGAACTTTCTACCGGACTGCACAGCCGGTAAATAGAGGAGAACCACATGAGAAGAATCTCAGTAGAATGCATGAACTCTTTAATGCTCTCAAGAAGACGGTGGAGAGGTAAACCCGGGCAGACCTAAAAACAACTGGAAAGAGAAGGTATGTCACAGAGATGAACAGTCGTGGGTGATATCTGCAGCAATGAATCTCAAGGGCTCTAAATAATCGACAAACGAATGAAATATTTTTTCAAAGGGTCAAAATTCAACATGCAGGCCCATCTTACACTTGGCCCTTCCAAACACCCATCTTTCACACGGCAGTTATATTTTATCAATAAGCATGTTTTATTCATATGATAATATGCATATTATGAATATCACTGGGAAAAAACACAAAAGCATGGGTGGTAAAATGCATGCACATACTAGTGCATGCACACACACACTGACACACACACCCACCCACTCACTTAAACACAAATATATACACACACATGCATGTACATACATACATAAACACAACCCCGTTCACCCACATACATACCTACCTACCCATACCTACCTACCCACACATATCAACACACACACACATATATACATACACACAGATACACACATGCACACAGATAAACCCACAGAAACAAGTGCAGACACACACATACAAACACACATATGCACACAGACACACACACAAACACCACACAAGCATACACACAGACACACAAACTTGCAGACACACACACAGACACATACAAGTGGACACACACATATACATGCACAAAAACACACAGGCGCAGACACACACACACACACACACACAAACTCACATAGATACACGCACACAGACACACTCGCAGACACACACACAGACACACAAACAAACACACAGAGACACATACACAGACACACACACATAGACATACATGCATACATACACACACAGACACACGCAGACATATACACACAGACACATACATAGACATACACCACAGACATACATAGACACACACAGACACAGAGAAAGACACACACACAGAATACACTCATGCAGACATACACACACATATATACACACACACAAACACAAGGCACATGCACACACAAACACACACATGCTGGCACAGACACACAGGCAAATAGACACAGACACACATACACAGAGACCTATTCACACTCAATCCCACAGACACACACACAGTCACACACACATGTAAACATACAGGCACTCATATACACACTCATGCAACAACTTTTACAATTACCGATACACTCACTCATACCTAAACAAACACTGCACATACACACATATATACCATACATGATGAAGAAGAAGATGTGTCAGACTTATACTTTAAAATGTTCTTGTTTTTCTTTTCTACCAGTAGGATTTTAAACCTTCATATTCAGATAGAAAGTGTTTTTTTTTTAAAATGACAAACTGGCAAGTCACAAATCTGAGATTTAATGTGCAGAGTTCTCACAGTTGTGTGCCCTTATCTGATAAGACTAGATAGAATCCACCAGGATCCAGAGAGAGCATATGAGCTATGGAATGTTTATGTAATCTAACAAACCATCATCACTGTTAATCACCTATCAGATCATTAGTTACAATCATCAATCAAAATATTACTATTAAACAAATGGCGTTTGAAGGTTCTTCTTCTTCTTTCCTCTACTCCTGGAATGCCTTGTGACGTCAGGGCAGAAAGAGATCGCTAGAACAGTCTCTTTTGTTCACTTCGTATAAAGTACTTTTCAGTGTTTTCTGCGCGAACAACCTCTGGTTCTGTTACCACTGTATCTGTATAACATTGATCTCTGTGGTGCCCTGTCTGATGGCAATCTTGTTACATGGCCAAACCATTTGATTTGTTGTCTACCTAAATGGTTTAGTATTGGTTCTGTGCCTACTCTACTCCTGATATCATCCTTTTTTAAGTTGATCTTTTCTCATTACACCTAGCATAATATGTAAACATTTAATTTACTGTTATAACTAGTCTCCCTCTATTGTCTGAAGACAGTGTCCATGTTTGATACTGATAGCATAGTGTTGGTAAGAATATTGAGTTGAACAATGTTCTTTTAGTGTTCATATTCACATACTTACATTACAAAATTGGTGCCATTTGGCCTAAAACTTGATTAGCTTTATTACATCTTTGCTGGATTTGTTTATTAATTCTTCCATCTTCTAAAAAAGTGCTCCCCAGATATGTAAAATATTTCATTAGCATTAACAGGTGTTCATCAATTTTGATTAGGGCTGTACCGAATATTCACTTTGTATTCACTTCGGGGCCGAATAGTGGACCGAATGACTATTCGGTATTCGGCCGAACAGTTGCAGTCGGACCGAATATGAATATTGGTTACCTCACACTCATTTCTGCATACACTGCGATGGACTGAAATAATTCTCTCATTAACACAATAGTTGCTGTTGCCTAAGTTTGTAGTAGCAGGAAAACTGCCACCCAGTTGCATGGGACATCAGCTGGCAAGGTCTTGCCAGCTGACTTGACTGAGGCATTACAGCAAAGGTTCTCAAACTGGGTTCTTATGCCAGGGGTGTTGGGGCGAAAATCAAGAAAAGTCGGCTATAAATTGTAACATTATTAAAGAAGACATAAAGATACTTGAGATACTTTCCCCACCACCGTCGAAAAGAGCACATGCGACAGGCAATAACTGCATTTTATAAAATGAAGAACATGTTATGCAATATATCTTTGCCATTGAAGGTTAGAAAAAAAAATCTTGCTTGCTACTATTTTTTCCTATTTTTCCAGTTTTAACATAAGGTTGTAAGTCCTGGACAATCAGCAGGCAGGCCAAACAATTTGTCTAGGCTTCAGAGATGAAGTTTTACAGAACAATGCTTAAAATACCTTGAACAGCCAAAAAAGCAACCAATAGGTTTTGAAAGAGGCGGGAGCCCAAAGACAACTAATCACAGACATCAGAAGGAGACAGTCATCATTTTTCGGCCATGTTATGAGAAGAGGGAAAATGGAACATGTGGTGACCACTAGAAAGATCTGTGGAAAGAGGGATAGAGGAAGACAAAGAGAGAAGATTCTTGACAGTTTTGTTGCATGGCATGGAGGTGTGTCAGCACACGGACTGATACATGCTGCAGGAGATCGCAGATTGTGGCAATGCATAATCGCCCACATCAGTCGGCAAAGCACCTGATGATGATGATACACTATTCGTATTTGTATTTGTATTCTTCCGAATAGTCGGTCCCACTATTCTTATTCGGTAGAATAGTGAAAATCACTATTCGGTACAGCTTTAATTTTGATATTGGTGGTTCTTCCTTTTCTGGAGAATGTCATCACTTCTGTTTTGTCTGCGTTGATCTTCATATCATAGTTGTTGCATTCTTAGTGAAGTCTATTAATATGTTCTTGTAGTTGTACAGTCGGCTCTTGATGCAAATGCTTCGTAGTGCCGGGATGCCAGCTTCGATCTTAGCAACAGGCCATGAGCCTTGTATTAATTTTGACAGTGGTATCAAAAAAGCCGACTGTCCAGAAAGCAATGGCAAACTACTGGACATAAATTTACCTAGAAAAACCACATAACAGCCATGATTGCTGGTCACTGGCGAGAAGTGATTTATTTAGTAATTCTCCGATGTTGTTTTCTTTGCTGGTGTTAGTTGATTTGCAAAGTTGGTCGACGTATGTGATGAACAGTGGTGGTGACAGAACTCACGCCCGTTTCACTCCAGATCTAATGAAGAACTTTTCTGTTATTCCTGTATTTGTTCTAACTGCACATTGACTGTTCACATAAAAACTCTTGCACAATTTAATAAGGTATTCATTTACTCTATAATCTTGTAGTTCCCTCCATAATTTATTTATTTTAACTCTAATCGAAAATGTTGAAAATTGTAACTCTTCGCTTGCTGCTGAAGATCTTAACGGAGCGCTTGTAGGGGTGTCCTGAGTACTGTGACGTGGATTCTTAATTCAACATTTAACTCAATCGAAAGCTTTCTCTTGGTCTACAAATGTGACATGTAATTCTTTATCAAATCCTACCAAGGTCAAGTTATAATTATATTTAAAGGTTAAAAGTTAAAACTGAGAGGATTGTCTGCACTGTACCGGGTTTTGTCCCACATGAGACACTGACAGTCCTGATGGTCCAGTTTTCTATCATTCCATTTTTCAATGAAGTTGGTACTGGTTGGACTCTATTCTGTTGCCTCATTTGTTTTCCACAAATATCATTTTCTTTTTTGTTTTGTTTTGTTTAGGAACATATTTTTTTTTTTTACAAGACTTGACTTTCCTATTCCACCAATGTTTTGTTGACATAAATTTTAAATTTTTCTTTTAATTAGTTTTAACTGCAAATCTGGCATAGCTGCAGAAATCAATCAAACCTGTCCATTTGTTTCTTCTCTACCCAGTATACTCTAAACAAGAGCTGTTTAACTAAGTTTGCTCAGTAGCCAGAGAACCGAGTTTAAATAATGAAATATCATTAATACAATGATCTATGGGCCGTTTGCTAGGCCTTGGCGAGCCAAATTTGACACATGGACTGCCGGTGAAATAGCCCTGCTCTAAACACCCATATCCAAAATGACACTACCACTTTCTTCAGTTTTCAGAAAGATGTCTTTAGTCACTGTTCATCATTTCCACACACACAGTTTACCTGGCAATGCACAACTTGTCAATGAGCAGATTTTTAGGTTAACTATGATTTTACTATTAATGTTCCACTTTTTTTTAAAAACAGTCTTAAAATTAAAATGTTACCTTCCCCTGGTCATTTAAAGTGATGTTGATAACTTGACCTTTGAGAGATTTCAAAATCCAAAGTCTGATGTCATCCATTGTGGAATTTCCATTGCTGATATTAGTCCTAACTTCATCTTCTGTGTTGAAATAATCTGGCAACTCAAATGTTCCATCAACAACAGCATAGCTTGCAGTGTTGATCAGCTGTAAAAAAATTCAGAAATAGGACTTATTTGTTTCAGTCCCTAGCAGTTCTTACTTTTTACATTTCTTTTGAAGCTTTCCCCCATCGTGGCCTGATTTTATGCAAATGTACATGCAGGCAGACCCAGTCTAAAATACCAAACATTGTTCTGAAGCTTCAGTGGGTGCAGTGTCACCAGATTTCATTGTGGTGACAGCAAACACATTTATGTAAAGGATGTTATATGTGATCATGCCAAGGAAAGGATAACTTTCCGGGCTATCAGAAAAAGATGATATCAACTGAATGAAGACACACACTTGACGCTAGGCCAAAGCAGTTGCTCACTAGGCTACATCTAAGGTCTGAAATGTTAAACATTTTATGTGAAGAGTAATCTCATCTAAACATTCATAAGTTGATCTGACATGGTTAAAATGTTAAACGTTCTAATTGAAGAGTTATTTGACATGTTGAACACTTTAACTGAAGGCCTAATCTGACAGAGTCTGAAATGTTAAAAAATTAAAGAATTGACTTCTTTAACTGACTGAGTACACCCTAAACACACTATCATCACCACCCACACTTGACTACAGGTTGCCTGGTAACCATTTTGTGATGCCCTAATATAGCTGAGCTATACAGCTATACCATTGAATGGGGTTTCCTGGGTTTGTCCCTGTCTGATTCTCATCCTTGAAGTGTTAATACTACAGACTGCAAACTTGGGTGGGGGGGGGGGGGGGGGCGAAATCTTGAACTTAAACAAACAAACAAACAACAACAACAAAAAACTGAACAATGTTTGGGACTGGTTGAGTTAATTCAGAAACATATGAGTACTCATTTATGCAGTAGTAGGAATTTAAACATTAGTCTGTTCAACCCATCCAAGTTATAATTGGTATACATATAGTATTTTTTTCTTTCTCAATAATGGATATTTATGTCTACCTATTATATTTGGTTATGCAATATTACACAGCTAATATATTAATTATATAAGATTGTAAGATTGACATTTATTTTAGTGATGGTATGTGGTATATTTGTGGTACTTGTGTGGTATTAAAAACACCTGGGTTAATTTGTTTACCTTGCTAACAGAAACAAATACTGTCCTTGGTTTGCTCCGATCACAAAAGAGTTCAGTGATGTTGGCAATGCCACTTCTCTCCTGTGCATGAAAACAAATATCAGTATATTAAAAGTCATTTTTTTTTAAACAGGGAAACTTCTAGGTTTCTTCATATAGAATTTTAAAACTTGTTTTCTACAAGACCAGCAGGTATCATGTGCTGTAGTACACAGATGCCCTCTTCAACCCACACACATTTCCTGGCCAAGACATTATTTTACTTCTTTACAACATAATTCTTGCACTGAGCTACAAACCAATAGTGCTGGCATCAGTCTCTCCCAGACAGATTTATCCTTGGTCAAGCCACTGACCCAGCCACAGAATGATCCTAATATGCCAATGATTGCAAGGCTTGCTAGCCAAAAGTTTTAAAAACAGAATTCTGGGTTCAGAATTCAAGTGCACTTGAAATTTTTCCTTTAGCTCAAATTAAATTTTTCAGTTATCATTAGGAGAATATTTTTAGAACCAAATTGCACATTTCAATTCTAATGTTATTTCAGTTTTAACATAAGCCAGTGAAGTGGAAAGATTTAGAATGGAAGTTATATGCATTCAAAAACAAATGCCTGAGGAAAATGATGAACATAAAATGGGATGAATTCAAGAGGAGTGAAGAAGAAAGAGAAATGCTTGGGCAACCACTGGTATCAACAGTTCTAAGATAGAGAAGATGGCGCTGTACTGGACACATTCTGACAAGCCACAAACAAAGCATCACCAAACAGGCACTGAAATGAGAAATGGAGGCACTGAGGAAACAAGGACATTCAAGAGAATACCCTGAAATAAACACTGATGAGAGAAGCTGAAAGTGATGGATTCCACTCAGGATTTTAAAGATCTACAAAGACAGACCGCCTGGGTCTTGCTGGACGGCAGAGTAACAATGATCAATTTACTTCAAGTAGTGAGAAGATTTGCTGTGGACAAAGAAGATGTTTTGAAAACTGTGAATGGCTGCTAGCTAAAGACAATGACAAATAAAACATGTTTAAGGATGTTTGAGCATAAACTGGTTCAGTTTCTAGACAACTGTATTTCAGCTCTGAAATCTGATGCATTGACGTTTAGAGCTTGCATCTGTCAGAGTCTGAAGCTGTAATATGTTTGCATACACATTATTATTCTGACTTGGTACCAAGGTATCACCTCTACAGAGGTTACATTATACACATTACACATTATAATTTTTCTTCACAACTTACAAATCATAAACAAAATGGCTATACAAGACCTGTTGTGGAACTCTCCATTTATGGAAAAGCAAACTATTATCAGGTCTTCATTCAGCACAGCACACACAGATGGACTGTAATTAGGTCTAAATTGGTACTGTTTCTTTTAGAAGTTTTAGTTTTTTACTATCAACATACTTCCATGTAACTAAATATGAAAATAATTATGCATTAAATATGAAAATAGTTTTCGAGACAAACTTACAGTCGACTGCAGCCAAATACAAAATGAGCGTAATTCTGGTGTCCTGCAAATAGCATCCAGTATATCCGTACTGCACAGTTTTCCATCCCCGACATAGCCAGTTTTACATTTACAGACTGGGTCTCCTGGTGTCAATAAACATGCAAAGTTTTGTCAAGTAAATTTGTTAAATAAAACATGTTTTTAAAACACATCCACTTTGTGTCAGCATCTTATCTTACATAATCACTAATCTTTATACTGATAATACAAAACTCTCATTAGTTAGTTTTACAGTAAATGTTACCACATTAATCTCAAACTGACCAGCAAGGTCTTTCTGTATACACAACAGGAAATTACCCATATTTATTACTGTCTCTGCATATCTCAATGTGTGTCCATTAAGCCTGAGATAAATTATATGAAACACACTCTCCCTTTTGATCATTTTTGGACTACGTGGTAACACTTACATAAGGGGAAGCTATGTTCTGTGTGAGTTGTGTATCTCAGTTGACAGGGTTTATTTTGTGCTGAATTATTTACCGGTGTATGCAGGGGTGTTGATATAAATAAAACATTAGAAAATGGGGGCCATAGGGGGTGGCTAAGCCCCTTATAATTTTCAAGGGGATGGGTAGGATGATTCATAAGGCCAATGCCTGGCCTAACTGTGTGTTAATAATAATCTTTCTTCTTTTATCCATTTTCTGCTCTGTGCCACTTAAGGTCCCAGGTTAACAGATGATTAGTTTCCAAGCTAGGGCATGCTCGGCTGCCCGGTATGCTGTGATATTGTGGAGTCTCAAGGTATCGTTGACTTCTTTAGCCAATCTTCTTCTTGATTGTCCCCTACATCTCGGTGTTTCTACTTTCATATTGTATGCTCATTGGATTCAGCTAAAAGATTAGCTTAATTCTGGTATCCTGGGTTTTGGATGTAAGCTCTGTAACTATACAAGAAGTAATGTTTGTCACCTTCATCCATGTCTGTGACCTGTGGCTGTGTAAAATTACAGACGGCCCTCTCCAAGTCACAGCCACCATTCTGTGAGGTGCAAGGGTCACTGTTTTGTTGACACCATGTCCCGTTGCCATGGAAGCCAGGGTTACACTCACACTGGAATGTTTGATTCGATGATACCTGTAAACAGAACAAAGTAGTAGAAAAGTTCTGTACAAACTATCTCAGATCATGTTTCTTATATCTGTTGTCTTTCAGTGGAGCACAGATTGTCACCTGTATCATGCTACACCCTGTATACTGTAAACTGCTACCAAAAGTTTGGGTTATTTTTCTACCTTTAGACTTTAGTCTTAATCCAAAACCTATGTGCATTCCGTTTTACAGATCTGACTTTTACTATTTTGTGTGCAGACTGTTTGTTCCTTGCCTATCAGGCAGATGCACTCTGACTTCATCCCTCCATGGTATACCCTCCTAACACGTACAGGTCGCAGGTTACAGCAGACATGTATAGCCATTACGGTGCCCTAGCTATGACTTCTTTGGAGGATGAACAGGGTATCTCAGATTTGTCCTGTTGGCCTTTTCTATATTGAAATTTCTTAGGGCATCAAACCTTCGGGTAGCAGCTCGGAAAGATTCACCCACAGAGGCGTGGTGGTTACTGTTGAAAATATGTGACTTTTGCTATATACTCCATTTACTTCAACATGCAGATGGAAATTAATGCCAACAGGAAAGCAATGTGTCTATTAACCCATTGATTTCAAAAGGAGTTTAATATACTGATTGATTTCAAAAGGGAGGTAATAAACTGACTGATTTCAAAAGGAACATAATACACTGCTTGATTTGAAAAAAAAGAGGTAATACTTACATTTAGAGTACACCTGGCCCATTGGTGACATGCCGTAGTTTCAGTGCCATCACACAAGGATGTGCATGTGTGTCCATCTCCAACATAACCAGAGAAACACTGACAGGTAACACCACTGCTGGTCTCACTACACCAGGCATGCTCACTACAGTTGCCTTTCATGTATCCACAGCTGTTGTAAGCTTCAGATTAGAGCAAATGGATTGTCATTGGATTAACAACACACAACAATACTGATTTTAATTATACAACTGGGGGGGGGGGGGGAGGGGGGACAGGTTAGAATGGCAGAGAGATAAACGTACCACTTCTGACACAAACAGATCAGTTTCAAGATGTCTGTTACTTAAAGAAGTTACCGAATTTATCCATGTATAAGACACCCCTATGTAAAGGCAACACATGGATCTAGATCTACAGAATTACTTACAGACATAACACAAAACATGGATCTAGATCTACAGAATTACTTACAGACATAACACAAAACATGGATCTAGATCTACAGAATTACTTACAGACATAACATAAAGCATGGATCTAGATCTACAGAATTATTTACAGACATAACACAAAGCAGGGATCTAGATCTACAGAATTACTTACAGACATAACACAAAACATGGATCTAGATCTACACAATTACTTACAGACATAACACAAAGCAGGGATCTAGATCTACACAATTACTTGCAGACATTCCACAAAGCATGGATCTAGATCTACAAAATTACTTACAGACAGAACACAAAGCATGGATCTAGATCTACAAAATTACTTACAGACATAACACAAAGCAGGGATCTAGATCTACAAAATTACTTACAGACAGAACACAAAGCATGGATCTAGATCGACAGAATTATTTACAAAAGCTACAGAAACATTTTAGAGGAAAAAAAGCCATATGATAAGCAACAAATCAGCTTGATTTCTGCACAATGAAAATCGGCTGCAATGGATCTCAAACACTGCTGTTTGCCCACTTCTTGATGCTGCCCTCCCACTTTTATCATTGTCTACCTTTGACGTTTTTCCAGTATGTTGTAACCAATGATTAAACAAACGTCATCCTTATTAAAATATCAGAAAAGAGACGGGATTGGAGAGTATGATTACTGATGTCTTCTCTAGACCAAGTATCTGAAGAGGAAGAAGAAGACTAGCACAGGTCACAGAGAACTCAGTGCATCTTTAAGAATATATTTGGGGTTCGATCCTACAGACCAGATGTCTGTCTTGTCTGTAGCTGTCCCATCACTACAGACCAGATGTTTGCCTTGTTGGTAGCTGCTGCATCCCTACAGAGCAGATGTCTGTCTTGTGTGTAGCTGTCACATCCCTACAGACCAGATGTCTGTCTTGTGTGTAGCTGTCACATCCCTACAGAGCAGATGTCTGTCTTGTGTGTAGCTGTCACATCCCTACAGAGCAGATGTTTGTCTTGTGTGTAGCTGTCACATTCCTACAGGAAAGCTAGTTGAGTTTTTAGTTTAGATGAAGGGGGCTGCATGGTCTATAGACATGGTGTCCGCCTCAAGTGCTGGAAGCCCAGGTTCAGGCCCCTGTGAAAGCTGGGATTTTTCCACGTGGACTTCTAGAAATTCCCCCTGGTCTCTGGGTAATAAGATTGGATGCCCGTGTGTATTTTTGCGCACGTAAAAAATCCATTGGCAGTTGGAAATCAAAAAAGAGTAGCCTAATGGCATTGCCTGGGCAAAATTTGGAGTTAAAAATCTACCCAAAGTATTTCAGGATCCTCGCCTGTGCTACAGAGTTCATGCACTGAGCTGAGATTCTTCAGGCTCAGGCTTGAGAAGTAGAATGGAGCACTTATGGTTTACTACCCTTGTGCTATGGATGGTAATCCGTCGTCTAAACTTAAACCTAATCACTACAGAAAAACAAGCCATACAAAATATTTGTGAATTTTATGACAGAATTCTTACTTTCTCCCCCAGAGAAGCCACAAACTCCAGTATTTCCACCAGTGACTCAATCTCATAATGCCACTTACCCAGCATGGCTGACTTGTCCCCGAGAAACCTAGTTAATGCCTTTGGTTGTTTTTGCTCTTATGCAGCATTTAAGAGGTCATGATATGAATAAATTTAATAAAAATAATATTTAGGGTGATTTTTGTGTGAACTGAATCGTTTTTAAATTCATTTCAACATTATAATTTCTCTGTAGCCTTAGTTTTAGAACTCCAGTGACCTCACAAGGTTAAAATTTGAGTCACCTAATGCCCTTTTTTAGGCACAGGGAATGTATTCCACTTAATGCTTAACTGTTTACATTTATTGATGACTCCCTCTATATATATGCTTAACTGTTCACATTTATTGATTGCTCCCTCTATTTTTGGATTTTGCTAGTAGTTTTAATTATCTGCTGCATCTACTTTGGAAATAAAAGAATTAAAACTGGCATCCATTGTAATTTCCTTGAGGTTTCTGATGTTAGATGATCAAATACACAGTAACAACTAACTGATAAAAACAACTATCAAGTTTTTACACATAAAAGATCTAGTTTTGGTTTTACTTACTGATGTTACAAAATGGTGGCACTAGATCTGCACTTTCACATCTGTCACAGATGGTTCCAGCAAATCCAGGGTTACATTTGCATCTCCCAGAACCACTTTTTCCTTCACTGCAGACACCGTTTCCTGAACACGGGATTTCTGCGCCTCCTGGACACTCTAGTTAAATACAGACAAAATATTATGTTTCTAAATCAGGTGCTATCCTAATTTGAGGCTTAGGTCTTTTTGATGACAAAGTTAGATTTTACAATGGTATAGGGTGCTTGCCCCATGCTTCAATCTCCAACAAAGATGAATAATGATGGATCACAGAGATAAACAGAGGCTAATGATAACTGCAGAACTTGGTTGCTCCTCTTCTACCCTGGGATGTAAAGGTTTGTCAGAGAGATCGCAAGACTTCTCTATCTGCAGTTTTCTTTCTAGCTTTGTTCCATTCGAGTCCTCTGTCAGTCAGGGACTGTTGGATGTTATCTTCCTAATGGACCCTAGGTCACCCTGAATGTCTGGTTCTTAGTCTCTCATGCCTGCCAAGATGGCCAGTTTTCTCCCATTCTCCAGACATGTCCAAACTATCGTAACTCTGACCGATCAACCCGAGTTAGTAGGGCCTTGGTTTCAAGATCTTGTCATCCTGCCTGGTATCTGCAGCAGTGAACCTCAAAAGGGTTGTGGGTTGATTTCATGGCTCTGTCATTTAGTTCATGAGTACTGTTTTTATGGAGACTCCTGGGGATTGTCACCAGAGCTACAGCATTCATGCTTAGTTTGATACTCACTGGAAAATGGTTTGGTCATCTCACTAGAATGCAGCCACAGCATCTACCAACATTGGCGCTGACTAAAGAAAGATCTAGTATGAAAGCTGAAGAAGAAGATGGATTGATGACATTAAATAAATTCTACATTGATACTGAATGATAATATCCACTGCTACCGATGGAACAAGGAAACACAAACTGTTCCTCCTTCCCCCACAATGCTTAATAACAAAAGTGGAAGCTGAAAATGATGGTGATTATGTTCAAGGTGGTCAGAAGAGTGAGAATCAGAATCTTCTCTCTCCCCAAACAAGGAAGTAAACAGGAAGATGAAAGCTTTGTTACTGTCTTTTTGCAAAACACATGATGTTTCTGTGTAGTAATAGTTTATGATTTTTTTCTTCAGTGCCCAGACTTTTATATCCATTTTTTTAAAATTTATTTACTGATACTGACATAACTGTAAACAAAAAAAGATGGCTATCCTCTGAATAACAGTCCTAAATTATCAAGGTGGAAAATATACCCTAACAGGGCCTCAGTCACGTGTCAGTTGCGCACTTCCGTTGTCTTGCATTGCGCACTTCCGGCGACTTCCGCCACCGCTGAGAGTATCCACCACGCCACTCATGCGATTGGGGCTAAACTAGATGGCTGGGACTCACGAGCAGCAGCTACCGCATCTCCTGCAGCTTCCTTCATTTTATTTGCTCGCAAGTCCTAGCCATCTAGTTTAGTCCCAATCCACGTCGCTCACGGATACTCTCAGTGGTGGCGTAAGTCGCCGGAAGGTCGCAATTCGGCGGTGGTGTTATAGTCCCCGGAAGTACGCAATTGACATGTGACTGAGGCCCTGTTAGGGTATATTTTCCACCTCGATAATTTAGGACTGTTATTTGGAGGATGGCCAAAAATATATTGAAATATTCTTACCATCACAATGGTAACCATAGAAACCACTACAGCATTCTGAGGGCTGAAATAACAAAGAAGTCAATGAGAAACATTTTAATGTTAAAACTGGCATGAAAATAATGTTTCTAGATTTGATTACTTAACTCTTTTGGAAAAAGGCAAAACATAATGTGTGATTGGCCACTGTTCCTGTGTACCAATAATGTATTATCTATTACATTTAGTCAGCGTATACTACCAAAAAACTGGCTAGATCAGCAGTTTCCAGCCAGTGCTCCATAGAGCACTCAGACTTCTTGTGCACTACCCAAGGGCTCCATGACAGCTCCAGGAAAATACATAAAAACTGAATTGGCAACTATGAACCTCTCTAAACTACATTAAAAAGACGGGAAATGCAATAGTGTGGTCATTTAATAAGATCTTCTTCTTTACTACCTCTTTTACCGCTTTGGGGTGTCGAGGGAGACATAAGGTTCTGTTTCCTGCATATCTGGCTGCTTCAACCGATGACACATGGTGGTACTTTGGAGTTTCTCTGATGTTATCCTTCTATTTGTTCTAAGTCTACCTCTTGCTCTCCTTCCTTCCCCTCTTTTGGTATATGCATTGAATGGTATAGCTTCAGACGGCATTCTCTCCAAGTGGGCAAATCATTTGATTTGCTGTCTTTCTATGTAATTTAATAAGATAAGTCTCTCAAAAACAATACTACAAGGAGCAGTAGAGGGGAATAGGAGAAAAGGCCGACCAAGAAAGACCTGGATTCAGAACTTTCTGAGTGGACAGGTCTAAGGCCTGCAACAATGAAGTCCATTGCATCTGCCCGTCAAAGATAGAAAAACTGATCAAACAGTTAACAAACAGCAACTGGTGTTATTGGGCTGATAATTAAGGATGTAGAAACGAAATGTAGAATCAAAATAGGAGGACCAGAAAACACAAACTAAACATAATTTGCACCACTAACCTTTCTGTTTATGGTGGCCTCTAGCATCTTACAAAATAGTGTTGAATACAAGAAAATTTTTCTATATAAACAAACTTACAAACTGGTGTTGGACGCATATTTGTTGACATCCTGCAGTATCCCAGTCAGCGTCTGCATGTTTGTGAAAGTGGCATCTATATTTGATGACATGTTCCGAGCCAAGGGATTCAAATCCAGCATTGCATTCAAGGTCACCAGTCATGCAGTCTCCACATGGTCCCTGAGTGATAGACAAATAGATATCTCTGATTACAAATGTGAAAGTGCATGAGTGACGTTCAACGAACCCAACCAGGACTGCACAACAAAGGACAAACACCCAGTGACACAAAGTGCCACCATTCAGGTGAGAATTCCCAAGGCACAAGTTCCAGAAACCCCATTCTACCATTAGGTTATACATGGGCCCTCTATGACAGCCTGGGTGTGGCTTTAAAATGACACACACACAAATTGTGGCCCTTTTTGGGTGCAGTGTTTTTAAAACAGGTAACTGTGTAAGGATTTTACTAAATATTAGATTAAGAATACCTAACTATATTTAGATGATATTGAACAAAAATTTGAGAATATTCTGTGTAATCTTTAAGTGAGGTGGGGTAGAGAGTTCAAAGAGTTATATACAGCCAATCCTGATATACAGAAGTGAATCATGCACCTTTGGCTGATTAGTGAACAATTATATGGAAGCAAGGGAGATGTGGTTTTAAAGGCAAATGATAAGAACACTTGGGACAGATAAAAAGAGCATGTAGATGCTTTGAGAGAATAAAGAGAACTGATCACACACATCACAAGGAAACAGCCAACATTCCTTTTGTCACATCATGAGATGGAGAAAAATGGCAGACATGGTGATGGCAGGAAAGATGCAAAGGAAGAGAGGCAGAGGGAGACAGAGAGAGAGAGCATGTAAGACAGTTTAACTTCATGACATGGAAGATCATCTATGCCATGACCAGGGCTGTTTTATTGTTTAAATTCTGGCAGTACACAAGTCAGTAGTGCCATTTAGAGCAGAAACATGGAGAACAACTCAAACAGTAACTAAGAGAATTCAATGGAATGATAGAATCACTAATGTAGAGCTTTGGGAAGGGAGCAAGACAGTGAAATCAAGAAGATGGGGAGGAGATGGGGGGAACTGTATGAAATAATGAAGGGTAGAATAATTTGATGTGACTTAGGCTAATGTTCCATTAGGGGCTATAAGGCAGAAGAAGACAAAATGGTACGCACCACTGGCATCTTTTTTTAGACCTTATTTTTTAAAGACTGAGTATTCGACAATTCGAGGTGTGTATTGATACTTTTTTTTTTCTAGTGAGTGGCAAGTACCCACATATATCCCACACAGTACCCACACATACTTTTACAACATGCCTGTTAAGGAACAGTAGGTCTATTCTCTGTTCCCACCAAAATGAGGTCCTGGAAACCACACTGGTAATCAAAGATGGTAAAACAGAGATGGCAATCATCTATTGACTTTCTCTCTACCAGACAATGAGGCCCTGGAAACCACACTGGGAATCAAAGATGGTAAAACAGAGATGGCAATCATCTATTAACTTTCTCTCTACCAGACAATGAGGCCCTGGAAACCACACTGGGAATCAAAGATGGTAAAACAGAGATGGCAATCATCTATTAACTTTCTCTCTACCAGACAATGAGGCCCTGGAAACCACACTAGGAATCAAAGATGGTAAAACAGATATGGCAATCAACTATTGACTTTCTCTCTACCAGACAATGAGGCCATGGAAACCACACTAGGAATCAAAGATGGTAAAACAGAGATGGCAATCATCTATTGACTTTCATTCCACCGGACAATGAAGCAAAGATTTGAGACCATGGACATAGCTCAGTAAATTAAAGCAAACAATTTGTTCTTACTGAAAATTGTGCTCAAATTGAGGCAGAGTGGTTTGTGCATTTGCCTCCAAAGACAGTTGCCCAGGTTCAAATCTCACCTGAGGTGGGATAGTTGAGGAGTTGATAAGAATGACCAGAAAAATTGCTAAAAACTGGCGGTTTTTATACAGGTCACTTATAATTTTTTATTTTTGTTTTTTTAATCTATACTGTCAACTTTTTCCCATTAAAATTGTGTAACAATAAACACAAAGTAAAGCATTAAAAGGAATAATTAAATTAGTTGCGTATCGTTTACAGACGTTCAGTAGTTTGCCACTGCTTGCAGAATGGTCAGGGTAGCACTGTCAAAACCAACTAAGACAAACCATGCGCAGTTGGGATTGAACCCAGCACCATGGCACACCTAAGCCACAGACGTGGAATACTTTAACCAGAGTCTAAAAAAATATGTATTATCCTGTGACCTTATGACCTTTATCAATGAAACCTACAGGGCAATTTAAAATTAGTTTGGCTTTAAAAAAGCCATTGTCGGCCATAAAACCCCGACCCCGCCCAGTTGCCAATTTTTCTATTCATATCCAAGCTGAATAAACACAGTGCAGGTGCACAATAGAAACAGTGACATTGAACTATGCTTTTTTGAAAACAGATCATTGTAAAAATGGTGATATTCTGGCATTTATGGGGCTGTGTCATGACCAAAAGCGAATACATTTAGCCTTCTTGGGGCAACAAGGTTAATATGAGTGACTTCCCTTCTGGATTCAGACCATGACAAATGTCACTATTTGTCTTTTCCTTGGTCCTGGATGCTCTAGTTTTTATAGCAAATCCTTTTTATAGAACATCATGGTATTTATGTGACATGGTATACACCGCAATGAGCATTTATAGTGTATGGTTTCTGCAATTTATGGTTTGCAATAATAGCTAATAACAAAAGCAACAGAAACAATATCTATAGCATAATTATAGAGAGAGTTTTTAAATAATGTACCGGTTACTTACTAGATCTGTAATGTTCATAATGGAACCACACTCGTTGAGAGTCGGGTGTACAGCTGATTCTAACTCATGAATGACACCTCCATCAGTCAAGATATCTGAGCGGATCACTTTTACATGATTGACCCACACCTGGTTTAGATAGAATTTTGAAGATAGTGATGAATTCTTTAAATGACTGTGAGGAGAAGAAGGGTGAGACAAGGAAGAAATTGATTTCATTGAAGAACTCTATGACACAAACCACAGTGATCTTGTCTGTCCCCATCTTTCTGTCTTCAATGATTTCTCTTCCAGATTTCCTTCCATTCATTATGTCAGACTGTCCAGTTTCGCCTCTCTGGCTCTCCTTCCTCTCCATTTTCATTTTATCATGAGGTACTCCATTGTTATCCTTTCCATGATGTATAGAAAGATAGAATGTCTCCTTCTAATGCAAGTAATCATTTTCATGCATTAATTTCTGCTGCCTCTTGTCCATCTCGGTTATTATTGGTAGGTATTTCTCTGCTAGTTTGGTGACAAATGTTGGAAACTAGTTTCACTAAGTTATGTGTTGTATGTTCTTATATGTCAGTGTGAAGACTGGATACAAATGTTGGAAACTAGTTTCACTAAGTTATGTGCTGTCTGTACTTATATATCAGTGTGAAGACTGGATAAAAATGGGAATTAGTCACTAAATCAAAACATAACTGCTTCCCTTCACTTTCAGCAAGAAAACGGTGGTTTTATTGCTTACACATGGGGAGCAAAGTGACATCTTATGAGATTACTATGAAGTAATGATGACATCACAGTTCTAAACAGAAATATTTTTTGAACACCTAATATCTCAAAAATAAAAATAAAAATATATATATAAAGTCATGCCCACCATGTCTACACGTGGTGTCCGTGGTTAAGTCTGACTCATAATCTAACCTACCGCGATCGAAACCCACTGCGGGCTGCCTCAAATTGGTACCAGGATGGGCTGTCCTGGAGAAGTAAAGACGGCCGGCGTAATGTTGACCACATTACCCACCGAGTGCCGATTGGTCTGTAAAAAATATGGGAAGCTCTGCCCATATGCCCAATGAGCCGAAAGGCGTGAAAAGGGATCTTTACTTTACTTTACTTACCATGTCTACACACTAAGCAGTTACAACCAGTACCAAAGCTGTTTAATGGGAGTAGTAGCCACTGGCTAAAGATGTCATGGCATCAAAAACCCCTATATGTAGGAAAAGTGGCTTACTCATAGCAACAGGGTTATTGGGAATATGAGGTTAGTCCTACACTCAAATAGTTCAGTCAGCACTGAAAAGATAATCTACCTCATAAAAAAAGTTTTCTGAAAAGAATGCAACGAGAAGAAGAAAAAAGCCAACCATGCATTTGCAATACTCAATAATATATGGAAATTGAAGCTATACTATTATACAACAGTCAGTGTTGGAAAATTTATAGCAAGAATTACATGGGGAATGATGCAAATATTTTGGCCAAACAAGATCAGACATTAACTGAGGGAAACAGAAAATATACATCACTGGCAAGTGTTATCAAGGAAAGAAGATGCTGATTGCTTGGAAATTTTGCAGAATGCCTCGTGAAACTTTGGCAAATGAAACTCTCCGATGGATGACAGATAAATAAAACGGAGATGTAGACTGCTTAAGGAAACCTGGAGAAAGGGAAATAAGGTAATGTAAAATTATGAAGGATATCATCGGCAGAAAAGCAGCAGACCGGCAGCAAGGGAGATCAGTTGTGAACGCCTTATGTGTCAATAGCAACAAAAAGAAGTTATCAATCAATCAATCTTCATCGCACCCAAAGGCACAGAAGGCAGAGACCAACTGTCACCACTCGATTCAATCCTGAGACATCTTCTCTATATTCAGTTTTGTAATTGTTATAGCCTTGAGTTCAGCCTCAAAGGTTCGCCTCCAAGTGCCTCAGTGGATGCCTCCTTCTTGCTGTCATTGTGGTGTCCATTGCATTGCCAGTATCAGTGGTCTCTCTCTCTTCATTCTGAGGACATGTCCAGTCTGTCTCCATCTTTATTTTTTTTGGTTTCTAAATTTACATCTTATAAGTCTGTCACTTGCTGTAATCTAGAATTGTTGATTTTATCTTCCCATGTGAACCCCAACAATCTTTTGAGAAGTCTTCCCTCAAAACCTCTAAACATGCTCTCTATCTTTCTGTCTGTTTTCCAAGTTTCTGCTCCATAGAGGAGAACTTTCCTAACGCTTGTTTTGTATATCCTGAGTTTAGTTTTAGTGCTGTGGATGTTTGACCTCCAGACACTCTGAAGTCTGTTGTAAGTAGCAACTGCCTTGGCACTTCTCTGCTTGATTTCAATCACTACATTTCCATCCAAGGAGATATTGGTTCCCAGGTAAGTGAAGTAAGTTACTGTTTCCAAACCTAAAAATGTTATAGATAAAAACAAATCTTTACTTCCTTATATATTTTCTGGTATCCATGGGAGTCACTGTGATGAAGTGGTAAAACTTTCAAGTCAAGTCAGGTTAAAAAAAATCTGCCTTAGTATGCATCTCAATATATGACCATGGTGCCAACAGGCAACTAATACCTTGCATCCTCAAGGAAAGGGGCCATTTATGTCACCCCAAAAAACCGTGGGCATGAAGTTGTAGCAGCAACATCATACACAGATTACATGAGGAAACTGAAAAATAACCTGGTTCAATCATATATGGAAATTAGAACCTTTAGAACTACCCGATGATGCACAGAACTGTTCAAGAGGAGGACCAAGGAAAACAGGATTGACAGCAACACCCTCCTGTATCAAAGACTAACATTAGCCAGTTCAAGACATCTGGCATGACAGTAGAAACTGCAGCTGCCTACATTATTGTGCAGTTAGGTCTGAAACCACACAGCGAGCATAACACCAAGAAAAGCCACATGAGATTGAACCAGTCAGCTTCACGTTATGTTACAGGGAGAAGTCATCGCTTGTTTGTTAGGAGGTAGGATATTGCGCAAAGCTAAGATGTACAGGAATCAACAAGTTTTGGTAGCCTTGACATTCCCCTTTTCTAGAGCCTTCATTTGTTATTTACAGAGAAATATTTTGCATATGAATAATCTAAAAATAGTATATGATGTCATTGTTGACGTGCCCTATCACAGTAAACACAGTTGTACTGGCTTTCTAGAAGTGTCTAAGAGGTCAGCTGTCAACTTAATTACTATATTTAGGTGCAGAAGATATTGATGAAATCAGATACAATCGAGATGCAATTAGAAAATCCCACTTCAGAATGTACTTAGTTAACACAATGAGCATTCAAGAATATTCTAGAAGCAGTCAAATTGAGAAGAAAACAAACACCTAGGATTCCAGCATCCAAGTATAAATAATGAGTAACAAACTACTTTGGAAGACTTCAGTCTACGAGACTTAGAAGAGGAGGGACTAGTAATATTGACCCTCAAAGAGCCTTCGGTCATCAAGACTAAGAAGGGGAGGGACTAGTAACATAGACCTTCACAGTTGTAGAGATGCCAGCTCAATGCTAGAAGAAGAAGAACCAGTCACATTGAGCCTCAAAGACAGTCACAAGAGAAGAGACATGAAACCACACATCGAACTACAGAGATACATGGATCCATGGTTAACAGAAACACTATTAAGATGTTAGAGTCGAGGATTAAGCCATTAGTACCAGACAGCACTAGAAGCCATTTGACAGTTGCAAACACTAGAACCAATTAACAAAGTAAATAGAGATGAAGAACACAACGTGATCTCAAGAGTATGTAACCATAGGGAAAACACAGTGCCTTTCAGAATATCATTGATGTTGTTTGTGACATTGCTGAAGTATCACAATACAGACAGTATAGACAAGAACAGCTGTTTCACAAAATATCCTAAGCAAGATGTCTGAATAGTAGAAACTCCAAGTAAGATGTGGTGCAGACAGAGGGTATTGTGAGGAAGAGAAGTAGGAGTGGTAAGGGTTGTAACTGAATTTAAACATTTTTTTTTATACAGCTGTGTTGGACATTAAGACCATTAAGTGAGACAGAGCCCATAAGATAGATAGGGTGATTCTCTTGTAGAGACATTTAGGCTCCTTCCTTGGAATTTCTAGACTGATTGGCTGTCCACATAAAAAACTTAGTGAACAAAACAATTTTACTGTAGGTTAGACAGTGGATAGGCAAGACAAAACTGAACATGAGTAAAGGAGAGAATGAGCAGACTTTCACACATGCAAGCACTCACACATGCACAAACAATGACAAACCAACCTGCTCAGCAACCTGATTTAACGAGAGTCTATACCCTGATCCAAGTAGGGTGTCAACATAGACAGCGTCATCATAGATGCAAGGAGTGAACACCAACTGGGGAACAATATAATACTTCAGGAAACTTGCTGTCTGTGGATAGATGAGTTAATCAGTTAGTTAATCACAGTTCCAACTTCATGGCCAACAAGTCACCCCATACATGGCCAATAAGTCACCCCATACATGGTCAACAAGTCACCCCATACATGGTCAACAAGTCACCCCTTACATGGCCAACAAGTCACCCCCTACATGGCCAACAAGTCACCCCATACATGGCCAACAAGTCACCCCATACATGGCCAACAAGTCACCCCATACATGGCCAACAAGTCACCCGATACATGGCCAACAAGTCACCCGATACATGGCCAACAAGTCACCCCCTACATGGCCAACAAGTCACCCCATACATGGCCAACAAGTCACCCCATACATGGCTAACAAGTCACCCCATACATGGCCAACAAGTCACCCCATACATGGCCAACAAGTCACCCCATACATGGCCAACAGGTCAGCCCATACATGGCCAACAAGTCACCTCATACATGGCCAACAGGTCACCCCATACATGGCCAACAGTTCACCCCATACATGGCCAACAAGTCACCCCATGCATGGCCAACAAGTCACCCCATACATGGCCAACAATTCACCCCAAACATGGCCAACAATTCACCCCATACATGGCCAACAAGTCAGCCTTTGAAGCCAATTTAATTCCTTTTCTGTTTTTTTATTTTCAAATGCAAAAAAAAATGTTTAACATAGGTAGCATACACTGTAGTCCTCCAAGTAGCCTACATTTATCTGAGAAGGCTAGGTGTCTGACTTACTACCCTATTTGACTTTTCTTATTTAATAATAATCAAAACAAAAAACTTTAAAAAAAATAAAATTCTTCGCTAGGAATCACAATTTGTAAAATACAAAGGTGAAGGTTATAAACTCTTAATAACTTTGTCTCCAGTGCTGTTTACTGCAGACAATATTAAACAAATAATCTTCTTCACTTCCTCTTTTACTGCTTCGGGTGTCAAGAGAGATAAAAGATTTTGCTTCTTTATCTTCTGTCTACCTCGACCACAGATGCATCATGCTGTTGTAGAGTTTTTATGATGTTATCTTTCCATCTTGTTCTTAGTCTACCTTGTGGTCTATGTCCTTCTCCTCTATTATTGTGTGCCTTGTGTGTTATGGTGTACAAGGCATGCTCTATAAGTGGGTAAACCATTTGATTTGCATTCTTTGTAAAGCACACAATACTCACCGGTTTCCTGCCAATCTCTTTGAAATTCTTATTTGAAAGAACAAAGAGAGTGTACTCATTTAGGGCAGACACTGTCTCTAGAAGATTGGTTTTCTAAGGAGGAAAAAAAATGTAATCAACATTTATAGAACAGTAGCACTACACCCATCCACAACTGTTTCCTTATTTTAATTCTCTTTTTAGGCTAAACTTAACAGCAACAATAATAATATAAACAATAAAAATTAATGAAAAATGTGTAAATCAATCATTTCTAGCAAGTAATACTCATTATTTTATGGAATGAATAATAATATTGAGGAAAAAACAATAATCACAGTGAAATGCATGATTGTATAACTGTTAGTATGAGCATGTTTGTGTGTGTTTGTGTGCTCACCAGCACACATGAGTACGTGTGTCTGTGTGTGTGTGCATGCATGTGTGGGGGTCGAGGTAATCTGGTAATCTCAGTTTCAGCTTCATAGCAAACAGGTCACCCCATAGTTGCTCCCCTCCTGTGCCAACGAAAAACGCACAGAATGTTTATCACAGTCCCTTGTGGAAAGATTGACAGACTGCTGTCTCAGCATATGCACTAGTATAACAATGAATTAAAAGCATACGGTAGTAATCAGAAGTGCTAACACAAACAGTCCAACATTAGAACTGTAATAGAAGTGCCCTCCTTTTAGGTCAGTTTGCCACATAGCAGTCACAACTAGCAGATGTGGCCTCTAGACACAAAAGGTGGCAGTGAATAAACTGTGTGACAGTTGATTAATATTAATGAATGACCTCTTCTTATTCATGTTCACCAGCCGTAAACTCCAGGGAAAAGTTTTGGTTGTTTGTCCACTTCTGGACTTTATTCTTGTTTCCAGAACTTCAGTTTTGCATCTACATTGATTTTACAGATCTGGCCTGTTTGTATGTAGACAGTTGGTTCCTTGCCTCTCAGGCAGATGAAATCTAATTTCAAAGGAAATGAATGAATGAACAAAGTCACACAAAATCATTATCTTGTAGAAAGATGAGAAGTTTGTGTGCTAGAGTGAGCAGACTTGATGCCAAGCAGACCTCACCTTCAGAGCTTCATAGAACAACCCATACTCAGGCCTTGAGGACAACGTATCATTTAAGGATGGGGCCTGTTGATCAGGTAAAAATGGTTCCAGTACCTGTAAACATATAGAGAAATGTATATGTCATCATTATCATGTGCCATGTCGATATGTGTAGACAGTCATGGGTTCCTTTTACCGGAACTATGGATCTAGCCTGTCATTTCTTTTTTGACTTGCCTATGTCACAAGGCCAAGTCATTTACACATTTACATCTGTCTTTTCCTTGCTTTTTTGTTTCATAATTTACCAGTTATCACTCAGTTTTCTTGTTTCTTTTGCCTCATAACACATTAAAAAAAATCCTTTTGTCTGCTTTCAATGTCTGTTAACAGTTTTTAAGGCTTTAATCTGTTTTAATTTTTTCTGTGATTTAATGATACTCATTGCATATTCCTCTGAAACTCTATTTCCACTAAATTTCAACATCACATCCTCTCCATTTACCTAGGACCTTTCATGGTGCCCGTTACTTTTAAGGCTGGATCACTCTGGAAGCCAAGGTCAATTTTGAAACAAAAATCTGACAATGCAAATTTTAACCTAAGACCTTCAGACTGGCAAGTGAGTGTCTGGCCATGGTAAGCCTTTGAGGTATATGAGGTATATACAATGAGGTATATGAGGTATATACAATGAGGTATATGCTTGTGGAAACATCAGTAAAGTTTAGACTGTCACTGGGATAAGCCAAAGCCTATATGCAAGTTGCCAATGATGAAAGGCATCCGCTGCATAAAAATTTGAATGATTTAAGAAAAGATGAGTTCTTCTTCTTCTTTCGTTTCACATGAAATAAATTATCTATATCTGCAATGCTGTCACTAGTATAAACTTCACTGTCTTTTGTAATTCACAGTGAAAAGACAAGTTGAAAAAAGGAGAGTCTTGGATGGCACTAGCTGAAGATACCATTGAGACGGTGGCCTCAGTCAAGCAAATACACAGGGGGCAGGAATGGGTCGACATGAACACCCACAACAGCAGATTCCATCAGGTCATTATCAGGTTAGGAAAAGAATGTAGAGAGTGGTGTAACGGTATGGCAGAATTAGAGGTACAGAATTAGAGGTACAACAACTGATAGATGGAAAGGCTGGACTAGATGATGCAGTAGTATACACTGTTGGTTCTGTTCATCAGGGTGTAAGATATGGCTGGGGATTTTCAGCTAAAATGAAGGGAACAATTGTGGCGGAACAAACTGGAGCATTTTCATCTACAACTTCAAGCATGAGAATGGAAGTGGAGGCAATCAGTGCAGCTCTGAAGTCATCATCATCATCATGTAGCAGGTTTTTTGCGGAACATTGCTCTCATCACGGTCTGCCTGAAAGAAACTCGGTCTCTCACTAGCTATCCCCTCTCATGAACGCTCATACTTAAGGAGTTATTTATATCCTGTGACCATCTTCGTGTTGGTCGGCACTTGCTTCTCCTTCCTGGTATCATGCCCTCTGCTATTATTTGTTCCAGCCCATTGTGGCGCTTGATATGACCAAAATATTTCATCTTCCGAGACAGGATGCTGTTCATTAGCCAATATTCCTTGATGTTTAGATCTGAAGTGGATAGCAGAAAACAAAGTTAAAAGAGGAGTTATTGTGTCTAATTCTCAGTCGGCATTGCGAAAGGTTCAAAATGGACTAATGTGACATGAGTGGATACCATGCATCAGTACGCCAACATTGCAGGGAATCATGTGGATATACTGTCTGGGATATGATGGAGTGCAATGTAATGAAAGAGCAGATTTTCTGGCTATTAAAGTGAATGGCTAAGGAAACACTCATACTGGACAAGGGAGATATTCTGACAACCATATATGAACGATTTTTGGCAGAAGACACAGAGATTAGATGAAATGACATGGGCAAGGGGGATATTCTGAAGACCATATATGAACGACTTTTGGCAGAAGACACAAGATTAGATGAAATGACATGGGCAAGAATGCGTGAACAAAGAATTAAGTTTGGATCTGGCAAGGATGGATGGATGAGTGGAAGAGATCAGAGTTTGTATAATCAGTGTGCTACAGGACAGTTAGCATCTACACTTTGTCATTCATCAAACATTTGTGTTGGGAAATGGACGAGCAAACAGACGGGTTGGTTCTGCACCTTGAAGTGGTTAATTAAAGTATAACAAGCTAGAAACTATCAAGGTTCTTTGGAAGAAGGTGAACACTGAGGTATCATGAAAAGACCAGCACGGTCTGGAGAAAATGGTGAAGTTGGAAGTGAGCAGGGGATCTGGCTAACACTCAATGGAAAGGCAAGAATGACATATAGTCAAACAGTTACTGCTGACATATGGTCAAACAGTTACTGGTACCACTGGAATAGGAACTTAGTCCTGGTTGCTGAAGATGGGAATACAGCACTTATGGGAATGTCCTGAGGCCTTTGATGATGTTCTTAACTCATCTAAACTCAAGTCTGAAGTCATATTAATCTTTATTTATATTCTCTTCTTGTTGAATTTAGCCTGTTTATATAGTAACATAAAAAAAAAACAAGCATGCTATTATGGAAGGCCATTTCAAAATGTTCATGAGTAGTATATTCTTTGAATTATTTTGTTTCGTCTTTACTCTGCATTTTATATATCTTATAATTTTTAATCACCACATGAAATAATGCAGTTTTGAAGGCTAACAAAAAAAAAAAAATTCTGAATTTGAAAAAAAAACATAAAAAACACCACCTCCACCCTCATATGAGTGAAACAAATTTTACATTAAAGCAAACAATTAAAAAAAAAAAAAAAAAAAAGAACCAACCTACCTGGTCTATGATATGAAAATATCCATTGAATGCAGGAATATTTGCTTCTTTAATCACAGCATATTTGGAATGGTTTGCAAAAATATGCAGAGACTGCAGAAAAACAAACATTATACTGAGAAATGTTATTATTCATCAAACCTGCTCAGTTAATAATAATAATCTTATTAAATCAGTTGATGTTGATAGTGAACTGCAGAAATAAAGAATCACATTTGTCTGTACAATTAATAATGGTTCTATGAAATCCTTGGATGTATTCTCAGTTCTTCTTCTTTCACACTACAGGCTGTAAACTCTGGCAGAAAGTTCTGGTAGTTCATCCTCTTCTGGACTTTTGTCTTCTATCTATCTTCTTTTACCCCACCAAGAAAGGACATCACACAAGCGATTAACACCCGATGACATAAAGTGCCACCATGTGGATAAGGATCACCCGTGGAGAGGTCTCAGAAACTGCGTTCAGCCATTAGACCATATTTATGGCCGGGCTATATTGCGGCCCCTGGCAAGAGCCAGAGTAACGCTTCAAATAATGAAAAATTGCATCTCATAAAGGAGTGATGAGACTAGACTTTTGTCTTTTTCCAGACTTGAGTTTTGCACACAAATCCACTTTACAGATTTACTTATTTGTATAATTCTTTGCCTCTCAGGCAGATGCACTTCAACTTCAAAGGAAGCACCACTAATTAGTCGACTCGTACCACATGCTTGTTAGGGAGGCAGTGGGTCTATTTTGTCTACCCCCCCCCACCCCCCCCCCCAAATGGGACTCCAAAACCCACACATGGATTCTTCTCAGTTCCCTTCTGTCATTTCCTTGTTAGTTCCCTTCTGTCAGTTCCTTGTTAGTTCCCTTTTGTCATTACTTTGTTAGTTCCCTTCTGTCATTTCCTTGTTAGTTTCCTTCTGTCATTTCCTTGTTAGTTCCCTTCCCCATATATTTTTCTTGACCAGTTTCCACAGAGGAAAAGTCTTTGTACAATGTCCAAATAATGATGACCTGTAATATTTACCCTCAGTCATGGGAATCTTCAACGTTGGGTCTGTTTCTAAAAACGGTAAATAGGTGAAAACACGGACATGCCCCATAGAAAACTGCAATAGATAAAATAATGTCTGAAGTTACATGTTTACCTTATTTGTATTGACAATGCGTAAAGAGAATCCATCATAGAGGGTTGGGTAGCGCTTGATGACACCATCAAAAGCCAGCATGTCATCCGTAGTGAAGTCATTGTAGATGGTGTGAAAACTGTTGAAAGAGAATACTAGATAAATCACTTGTCTAAATTGCTACTTTTTATGTTCTTGTTTACTGACTTGATTCCTGGAAAATTAAGGTGGCCTGGCGTGATACTGACCACATCACCCACTCATTGCTGATTGGTTTATAAAATATAAGTCTAGCCCTATGTGCCCAATATCCTTGAATGTGTGGAAATGGGTCCTTTTACTGACCTAATTTGGCTTCAGAAAAGCAGTTCCTTTTGTCTGGTCCCAAATCAGGATAAGAAAGAAGGAGGGTTGGGTATGGGGCCAGTTCCCGCAGCCCATAAAAAAAATTATTTGCAAAAATAGTTGCTACAGAAACTTGCAGGAAAGGAGACCATCCAGGCACAAGTAACATGTCCTTAGTAACCACTAACATTGTCTAGGAGTACTGTAATATAATCCACCACACCAATTATGATCTTGTAGCCTCTTTATTATGGATGAACACATTGTTACAAAGATAAATTGGTGATCATCGACTCACTGTCAAGTCAACTACTCCCTGATATACACTCACATCATCAGTCTCTCCAGCCAACCTAGCAAACTATGGTGACTTCTATTAGCAACTCCAGCACATCGTGCAGATACACCCTTGTGATGTGCAGCAAAAGTTCTCTGATGGTTCTCCCTCTAAGAGACCTCACCACCTGAGGGCTCAAGGTAGTGAACCGCTTGGTGAAAAGAATCCAGACCTTTCATCTGCTACCCAGTCACTCACTGAAGTATTACTGACCAACATCTCGTTAACCAGGCTGCTTGATAACTCCCCATCACAACTCTATGTTGATCTTGAGATGCCTTATTCTGCCAATCGACTCCTCCTGATACACTGAGCATGGAGACAGTTGTTGCATTGGAGGATGGAACATGAATGGATTAGAGCAGTGTGCTAAGATGTCATTCATTATGGTGAACCAGTAATAAGTCATGTATAAAACAGCCTCAAATGCTGCTGGCAAGTGATATTTCTGTGTATCACAAACTTACTTTAGGAAAGACAGCACATTTTCTTCCTGGCGCCAATAATCAGCTGTAGTTTGTTTTTTGGTCGACTCAAAAAATGAGCTCAAGGCAGAATCACTTGGAGCGAAAAATGTGAACGTCGTATTCATTGTGTCTAGTATCATGTTGGAAGGATTAACATCCTGAGAACAGGAAGATAATGTTAGTTTTGTATGATTGCATCTAAGGGTTGATGTTATATTTAACACTACCTCTTCTTCTTGTTCACTTCCTCCAGTTATCTCATCAAAATATTGAGGCAGGGGGCTTTTCAATTTCTTCACCAAGTTTGTGACAGTGGTACCATGTTATTCTAAAACAATGGCCAATTCCTTTAATCCAGGGCTATTCAACTGGCAGCCCGTGAGACAAACTGGCCATGTAGCATTACCTAGTTGCCCAGGAACCACTATTAGTTGTATTGTGTTATTGATCTTTCTATGCTGGGGCTCTGGCCTCTGGTCCATGATGAACCTTATTGTCGTCAACACTGTGGTCCCTGAGTAAACAGTTAAAAAGCCCTGTTCTAATCAGCTGCTCTCTCATGAACTCTATTACTGGTTTCAGTTCTAGTTATGCTCTAGTTTCATCTTCTTGTTACTCTGGCAGCTTTTCTAAGACAGCTCATCTGTTATATTGATTTTGTGCTCATAGTTTTATTGATTGTCCATGTCTGACACTCGTAGAACAAAGTGTCAATCACACTGGGTTGCATTATATGTAAGTGACATATGAAATTACATAAGCAGCTCAGGAGAATCATATTACATGGAGCAAAAGGCAAAAAAGTATTTCTGGTCTTAAAATAAATGTTTTATGTTCTCTATTACATACATATATGAAATAAATTCAAAAGAAGTGAAGAAATAAGAGAAATGTCTGGGCTACCACGAGTATCAACAGTTATAACACAAGAGAAGAAGATGCTACATTGGACAAATTCTGAGAAGAAACAGAGAATTAACAGACAAGCACCAGAATAAGAACTAGAGGGACTGAGGAAACAAGAATGTCTAAAGAAAGGCTAAGGTGAATACTAACGAAAGAGAGGCCAAAGGTGGTGGATTCACATGTACACAAAATTCAAGATAGGCGTATCAGTAAAGTGCACCTGTGGAAAGGTGCTCCAGACAGCAGAACATGTACTCCAGGACTGCACCAAATTTGACACATTAAGGCAAACCTTTTTGCCAGAAAGAACAACAGTGGAACATAAACTCTATGGACCACTGAATGAACTAACAACGACAGTGAAATTTATACAAGCGACAAAATGGCTGATATAGACAACTTATTTCAGGCGAACGAAAGAAGAAGAAGGTGATGGTGGATTGGATTCTGTTATGAGTTATGAGTTAGATTATCTTTACAGCACTCCGGACACATCCATAGGTGCTCAGATTCCCCTCTCAACATATTCATCAGCGTCGTGTGGTTAATAGTACCAGTCCTATGTGGGTTAACAAGACTTCGTGTGCATCCAGTGTGCTTCTCATGCTTGGCTGTGCCCATCTTTACTCCCAATTTGTGCATTCTTAGCAGTGATGTGGACACGTTGCTTCCAAAATCCTCATAACGTCCCATCTCTCTGAGGGCAATGACAATGTCTGCGTGATCTATGCAGGCGGCCATCATCAATTAATGCAGCACCAGTCTATCAGCTCTCTTATTACCAACAACGCCTGCATGCCCTGGGATGAATATGAAAGTAACTGCACATACAGGAGAGTTTTGCAATGACTCAAACCACTGTCTGCATAAGCAGCCTACCTCGACCCACGGGATCATGCTCAAAGAATTACTCAGAATACACATGCGAGAATAGTCCTGTGATCCCAGCCACAAGAAAGCCTGTGTCACCGCCATCACTTCTAGCATCATGATGCTGGTGGTCATGGAGAAGGCCCCGCTGTTCTGTATGGAGAGCGAGCTGTAAATGCCCATGCACTCTTATGTTCTCATCTAACCCGTCTGTGAAGATCACCACATCTGTCTCATCTGACGTGTCACTGATAAGCGGGCATACCTCGGCATTGACAGCAGCTGGACTCTGCTCCCGACAATTCCTATCGAGCGTCACAACACAGGAGAATGTGAGAACTGGGCGCTTTAGAAGCTGGTATCCACTCCTCACCTGGATGTATGTCTGTAAGGCTGCAAAACCTTTGTGATGTCATCTTCTACCCTACCCAGCCATGACTTGCCACTTTTAAGCCTATTGCCCTTTTTCTTGAAGAGCATGTGGTGCAAAGGATGCTTCAGATCTGAGCTTATTTTGAGGTATGAACGAGCCCTCCAGATCTTGATCCTGTAGTTCATGGTAGGGAAGTCAAGAAGGTACCTGATTGCTACACAAGAGGTGTCTCCAGTGCACTCTAGAATGATGTGCATTGCTTCATTTTGCATCTTCTCAGTTCTTTCAATCTGAGTATGGCTGACAGTGAGGATGGCAAGAGCATATTCAATGGGAGAAAGTACAAGTCCCTGGAACAGAAGCAGAAGCAGTCTCTCCCCAGTATTAGCGGCAGCCAGGACCCTCATTGCTGACAGGCCTTTGCATGCTTTTGTTATGACATGGTCAACTTGTTCTTTAAAGGATAGGCTGCGATCAAACCTCACACCAAGGTATGTCGTCAGATTTGTTCTCGTCAAAATTTCCTCGCTGCTTTCCACTGCTGGTAAGTCTGCCTTCACTATATGCGTGTTCAAGGAGAACCACGTTACTGAGGTCTTCGAAGAGTTGACATGATTGGATTCTATCCATGGTATTGAAGTAATTGCCCAAGATACAATGGAATACTAAAACAGACTGCGAGCCATATGTGACATATAATGGTAGAATAGGACAAGGAATAAATGACTGAATAAATTACATACATACAATGAAATGTTCTACTTCAACAATAATTTTAACTGTCTTTTATAGTTATTACTTTAGCACACTGTTCTCATTCTCTCATCCCTCCCTCCTTGATGGATCCACATTTAATTCCTCGTTCACACATTCTTGCAAATGTTATTTCATCTAATCTTGTGTCTTCTGTCAGCAGTAGTTCATATATGGTCTTCAGAATATCTCCCTTGTCCAGTACGAGTTTTCCCATAGCTTTCGCTTTTGTAAATAAAAAATTTGTTATGTTCCTTTTTAAAGTCTGAGTTTGCTGAATCTGTTGCAACCCTTTATAAAGTCTGAGTTTGCTGAATCTTTTGCAACCCTTTATAAAGTCTGAGTTTGCTGAATCTGTTGCAACCCTTTATAAAGTCTGAGTTTGCTGAATCTGTTGCAACCTTTTATAAAGTGTTGAGTTTGCTGAATCTGTTGCAACCCTTTATAAAGTCTGAGTTTGCTGAACCTGTTGCAACCCTTTATAAAGTCTGAGTTTGCTGAATCTGTTGCAACCCTTTATAAAGTCTGAGTTTGCTGAATCTGTTTGCAACCCTTTATAAAGTCTGAGTTTGCTGAATCTGTTGCAACCCTTTATAAAGTCTGAGTTTGCTGAATCTGTTGCAACCCTTTATAAAGTCTGAGTTTGCTGAATCTGTTGCAACCCTTTATAAAGTCTGAGTTTGCTGAATCTGTTGCAACCCTTTATAAAGTCTGAGTTTATTTTAAGCCTGTTTACTCATCGCCATTACTGTCATAGACAACTTTCGCTGTTAAGTGTCATAGGAAGAAACAATTTGTGATCCAGTGCTCGCTGTCTGGCACTGGCGGTTATCATGGCCATTTACTGACCTCCATAAACAAAAAGATTCTGAGAAGATCCGGGTGTTTCTTGACCTCTTCAGCTATTGTGCCTAGACATGTGAAACCATCACCGGTCATCACTTCTGGACACGTGCATTTTCTCTCCAGTTCTTTAATAAATGTGCACTGTGCCTGGAAACAAATAATGTACATACATAGTTGTGTGGAGCAGAATCATGGAGAACAACCAAAGCAATTAAACTACAAACATTCATTAACTAGTGCCTGTGCAGAATAGAGGGAATTAGATAGTATAATAATCACTGGTGTAGAGCTTCAACAAATTCCAGTGGACCGGGAGGTAAAGAAACGATGCTGGCTTTGGATAGGTCACACATTGAGAAAACCTGAGAACAATATAACTAGAATGTCTTTGCACTGAAACCCACGAGGACACAGAAATAAAGGAAGACCAAAAAACACATGGAGAAAGGAGCTAGAAAGCAAAGTTAAAAAGATAGGGAGGACATGAGGAGAGCTGCATGTGATAGTGAAGGTTAGAACGACTTAGCGTAAGTTGGTTGAGGACCTTTGCTCCATTTGGGGGGTGGGGGGTGGGGGGGGGGGGGGTTTAAAAGGGCAGAAGAAGATGGAGTGTTCCTACTCAAAGTGTAGCTTTATGGTTAGACATGACAACCAACACCATATAGCATGGACTATAGGAAGAACAATACTAATAAAATAAATGCATCTTTGTGTATGCTAAATGATGTAACACCCTTTGGGAGCAAGCGAACAGTGCAGAGGCACAAATAGATTATTATGGTCTGAGGAAAATGGGGCTGTGAGGAGTTACCAGGGGATCTGGCTGATGCTCAACACTCAAGGGATGTGAAACAGATATACAATAAGACAGTTACTGGTGCCATCAGAATTGGAACTCTTTGCTCCATAGTGAAGATGGGGACGGAGCACTTATGGGAGTGTCCCCAGTGCTATGATATGTTGATTCTTAATTCAACATAAATTTTCATATGCCAGTCTAATGTGTGGGAAATCATGGCTCACTATCTGATATGATGACATGAATAGAATAAAAGAACCAACCAACTTTTTTTTTAAAGGGTCTCAAACTGGGAACACAGACCCGTCTTATATTCAGCTCTTCCAAACAATCTTCCAGACTACTTTTACATTTTATCAGTAAAACATTTTGTGTTCATATAATAGTTTATAGTTTAGAATGACCTTTAAGAGATGGTTTAAGAAAAAAAAAAGAGAGACAAAATACTTTGCTGCTTGTATTTTCCCCCCTCAAAGCAGCAAAGTGACTAGACACATTCTAGCCTAAAAGTCTTTGGTTCCAATCCACATTGTGACAGACCTTTTTAAAAACTCACCTTGACTCCTAGGTCAGTCCGGCTTAAAGTGGGTACCAGGTCATATCCTGAGATGTGAAAGTGGCCAAGATGGCTAGTGACCTGATCACCAAGTACTTGATGTGTAGTGCTGTCATTAAACTTGATATGTAGTGCTGTCATTACACTTGATATGTAGTGCTGTCATTACACTTTAAGTGTAGTGCTGTCATTACACTTGATGTGTAGTTCTGTCATTACACTTGAAGTGTAGTGCTGTCATTACACTTGATGTGTAATGCTGTCATAATACTTGATGTGTAGTGCTGTCATTACACTTGATGTGTAGTGCTGTCATTACACTTGATGTGTAGTGCTGTCATTACACTTGATATGTATAGTAGGGTCATTACACTTGATGTGGATAAGGAAGTGTATTTTTGCCCTCCACAGAAAAAAATCATCACCTTATAGAAGATTTGAATCAGGGTTTCCCCGCAGGAGAGCTCTGTGTTTTAGCCATGTCTCTTTGGGAAAAAACAGATTGAAAAAAAAAAAAATGACAAATTCAAATTTTTTTAAATACTATTATTACCCAAGCCTTTTTTGGTCTAATCTCCACAAGGCAACTTGTAACTTATGCTATTGCTGTTCCTACAAAAAGCTAAAATGTTTCACCTGTTCCATTCCTTTGTTTCATTTTGGTGTTTTGTTCCACTCTGAGACAGTCATAATTTTTGTTTTCCCACAATTTTTATTCCATAGGAAAGGGTAGATTACTAAGCCGTATGACACACACCCAAAAATAAGGAATTGTATAACAGTTTATGAAAGTAGCAGAACTGAAGCCACCAAAATACTAACTTGATCAATATTCTTCTTTCTCTGTGTTCAATCTTTAGAGAGCAGTTGGCATATTGTGCTGTGGTTCACATCTAGGCTGTGATATCAATACATTTCAGCCCAGCACTTTCAGTTTCAGCAAATTTCTAGTTAAACATTTTTTACAACATGCTTATTTAGAAGTCAGTGGGCATGGTTTTCTTTTCGTCAAAATAGGGCTCTATAACACACAAATGAGGTTTGTTTAATATGAAATTTACTGCTGACATCTTCCAGATATATTTAATATTTGTTAAACTGCAGAAGTTGCATGATCTACTCACTTTTGGGTGGCAGCCTCCGTTGTTTTCGACGCACAGATCAAACAGTTCACAAACCAGCCCGTTGCCCCGGTAACCAGTCTTGCACACACAGTGATACTGAATTAACATAGTCAGTTTTAGTTACTGAGTACAAGATGTTTGTAACATACATATAGTTTAGAATGTCTCTATAACCTATAGTAAATAATGACTGTAAATTATATAGTATTAAATTATTGTTTCTATAAACTACAGAACATAATCTCTGTTCATCTTATAGTATGGAATGTCTGTTTAACTTATAGTATGGAATGTCTGTAAAAGTTTTACAAATTGTTGACTGACTCTAACTTATATAATATAAAATATCTGTATGACTTTCAAACTTTTGACTGTCTAACTTACAATACAGAATGTCTGAATAGATTAACAAATTGTTGAATGTCTAAATTACCATACAGAATGCCAGTATAGCTGACATTATAGAATGCTTGGATATTAAAACAAAATTTCTACAATGTAGAAAGTATGACTTATATAAAGATGATTGTGTATCCTTTTTTGCCATTAAAAAGAGAAGAAAAAAAAAGAAGATAACTGCACTGTCCAGGTGCCACGTCTTGGCAAAGTGCATTTTTATGGCAGTCAGTGTGGCCATACAAGAATAGGTGCAGCAACACTGGAAGCCGTCACCATGCCACCCACTGTTACACACACACTATGATGGCACCAGGGAGAACTTGTCCAAAGTTGCCTGTTTGGAGTGAATGCAGGACATATTTAACTCTCTCAGTGTAGATTTTACACAGAGCATGCCTCAATAACCTAGAATATCATGCAAAAACTTTTTATTTATTTTAAAGTGCCAACTACATTAACTGTATGTTGAAATATTTAGCCAATTTACAGGAATGACTAAACATACAAAATTGTTTAATGTTTCCTCAATTACCATATCACCACCATCCTCAGCTTCCACATTTGACATTATAAATGGTTTGTATACAGCCTCTTAAAAACTGGCCATTGCAATTCTTCGCTATTCACAATACAAAGTATTTAATGTAGTCTTTCTTCTTTTACTCTCTTGCTAAATCAGATTAATATGATATTTACTTGTATTTACTTACTTTAGTTAAAAGAGAAAGACTTCTCTATCAGCAGCAATTCCAGAAGAAAAACAAACCTGTCCAGATGTTGTGCCACGCAAACCCTTGGCAAAGGGTCTGGTTTTGTCTTGGCATTCGGTGTGGCCACTATTCTGCAAAAGGTCGGCATATAACTGGAACCCATTGAAGTCTGAGGCATGATCATGTCACTGTTACACACACAGCTGATTGCACCAGGTGAAAATATGTGATAAATGTTGCCTTTTTGGAGTGAACAAATCAACATATTTAACTCTTTTCAGTAAAGAGTTTACAAAAATGTTCACTGCTCTAGGCACCAAATGTACAGCTATCAATATGTGTAAAGTAAAAAAAAAGCTTTTTCCATTCTATTATTAAAGTGCCAACATACATTGCACTGTATGAAACCGTACACAGTCTTTCAAAATTGTTGTTTTGCCTGATTTTTTTTGGCATGGTTTTTCCAAACATTCAAAATAGTATGTTTCTACTCTTTTCCTCATACATTACCATCATCAATATCACCACCATCCTCAGCTTCCATCATTTTGTTGAAAGAGTTCTTTTTATTTCTACGTTCTTTAGAAACGGTTTGTGGTACAGCCTCAAAGGGTGGCACTGGCCATTGCAATTCTGTACGCTATGCAGACAATATAATGTACTTAATGTCATCAGTCTTTCTTCTCTTTGGGCACACTCTTGCTCTCACATCAGATCTTTTCTCTGTGACTGGCTGTCTCTGTTCATCTCTGTGACTGGTGGTCTCTGTCCATCTCTGTGACTGGCTGTCTCTGTTCATCTCTGTGACTGGTGGTCTCTGTCCATCTCTGTGACTGGCTGTCTCTGTTCATCTCTGTGACTGGTGGTCTCTGTCCATCTCTGTGACTGGCTGTCTCTGTCCATCTCTGTCCATCTCTGTGACTGGCTGTCTCTGTCCATCTCTGTGACTGGCTGTCTCTGTCCATCTTTGTGACTGGCTGTCTCTGTTCATCTCTGTGACTGGCTGTCTCTGTCCATCTCTGTGACTGGCTGTCTCTGTCCATCTCTGTGACTGGTGGTCTCTGTCCATCTCTGTGACTGGTGGCCTTTGTCCATCTCTGTGACTGGTGGTCTCTGTTCATCTTTGTGACTGGTGGTCTCTGTTCATCTTTGTGACTGGTGGACTCTGTCCATCTCTGTGACTAGTGGACTCTGTCCATCTCTGTGACTGGCTGTCTCTGTCCATCTCTGTGACTGGCTGTCTCTGTCTATCTCTGTGACTGGCTGTCTCTGTCCATCTTTGTGACTGGCTGTCTCTGTTCATCTCTGTGACTGGCTGTCTCTGTTCATCTCTGTGACTGGTGGTCTCTGTTCATCTCTGTGACTGGCTGTCTCTGTTCATCTCTGTGACTGGCTGTCTCTGTTCATCTCTGTGACTGGCTGTCTCTGTCCATCTTTGTGACTGGCTGTCTCTGTTCATCTCTGTGACTGGCTGTCTCTGTTCATCTCTGTGACTGGTGGTCTCTGTCCATCTCTGTGACTGGTGGTCTCTGTCCATCTCTGTGACTGGTGGTCTCTGTTCATCTCTGTGACTGGTGGACTCTGTCCATCTCTGTGACTGGCTGTCTCTGTCCATCTCTGTGACTGGCTGTCTCTGTCCATCTCTGTGACTGGCTGTCTCTGTTTATCTCTGTGACTGGTGGTCTCTGTTCATCTCTGTGAGTGGCTGTCTCTGTTCATCTCTGTAACTTGCTGTCTCTGTCCATCTTTGTGACTGGCTTGGCATAAAGACAGACCTGGTGGTGACAAGGGTTGTTTTCAACTGTACAAAGGTCAATCTCCAAACAGACGTCTCCATTGTTCTCATAGCCAGGTGCACAGTAACAGCTGGAAACATTTTAATTATTTAAAATGTTAACATTATAGAGAAAAAATGTTAATTAAATAAAACACATTTCTATAATTACTTACACAGGGTGTTTGTAAAAAATCTACTTTTTATGTAGAAGAAATCTGAAAAATTAAGGGGGCCAAAAAATAAAATCACCAGGGTCAACAGCATAGCAGTATACAGTGAAAGTTTGTCGTTAGAACATTACTGATGGATTTGATTATTCTCTTCTTTTGTTGATAAGAGACTGGTCCAAGATAAGGAAAACAGAATAACACTGTAAACACCACAAAGAATCATTAGAACAGAATAACACTGTAAACACCACACAGAATCATGAAAACAGAATAACACTTTAAACACCACACAGAATCATGAAAACAGAATAACTATGTAAACACCACACAGAATCATGAAAACAAAATAACACTTTAAACACCACACATAATCATGAAAACAAAATAACACTGTAAACACCACACAGAATCATGAAAACAAAATAACACTTTAAACACCACACAGAATCATGAAAACAGAATAACTATGTAAACACCACACAGAATCATGAAAACAGAATAACACTTTAAACACCACACAGAATCATGAAAACAGAATAACACTTTAAACACCACACATAATCATGAAAACAAAATAACACTGTAGACATCATAAAGAATCATGAAAAAACCCAGCAACACTGTTAATATCAGTTTTACCTGTTAATACCATTTTCTCCAAGAAAACATTCTGAATCATTTGGACAGAAATCATCACTTTCACAAGGAACCAACTTGCGATCACAGTCTTCTCCAGTGTATCCAACCTGGCAAGTCCCAGGCTTACATTTGCCAGTACCTTGTGGGCCAGTGTCACATTGACCAAACTGGCATGTGCAAGCTGTAAAAAGACAAACTCATAAGTATGTTTGACAAACAACATTTATGTTCAGTGCTGATACTTCTACAAACTATATCCCCAAATAATATGATTACTAAGCTGATAGGTTGGCTGGATCCGCTATCACTACTGATGGTCAACCTATGGATCATGCTAATATTATTAATGCTCTCTGAGAAGTGGGAAGGGTGGAAGACTTTGGGGGCATTAAATCCACATCACTCGCCAGAATGATAGACTTAGGAGTCAAGATCAGCATTGCAAAAAATGAGATGCACATCAGAAGACTTGTTAAACATCATAGAACTGGTACCATTAGCCACTGGATGCTGGGGTTCATTCTGAGGGAAGGATCTGAGCACCTATGGACATGTCCAGAGTGCAATGATGATAACCCAAATAACCAACTAACAATCTATTACTATTAATGCATAATCTATACAATATTAAATAACCAAAAGTAACTGATCATAAATATCGAATGTTGAATTGGGGAAAACAAACAACTATCTACCCTAATTATAACTATATGAGTTGAACAGGATATCATTGTTTCATTACTACTACTGAGGGTGCTGTAAATATAATCTGATAGCAAAAATGTAAAGTTTTTTGGGTCCCAAACAAAGCATGAGGTGTGACTGGCTTGTCCCCATGAATCTTAACCTCATCTAATGTGTTGTCTTAAAATATACTACATGCCGTCATATCTAAGCCCAAAATAATTATTTGCTTATTGTATTTTATGAGTAATATTTAATCTCTTTTACAGCAAAATTAAAAAATGTATTAACCATGTTCCACACTACTATAAATTTGTCTGGCACCTCCAGATTGTGTGGGGTCCCACCAGCAGAAACTAGGTCATGGTATATCTGGTAGAATGAAGGGGATCTCCTTCACCACCATTTCTAACCTCAGTGCAGAAGAGCTATATTTGTTCAATGATCTAATGCACCAAGGCATTTCTCTAACCTAATGTTACGTTTTTATCAGTAGCCCCTAAAATAGAGACTCCTCCCTCCCTTCCTCTTTCTTCAGTCTGACCCATCCAAGCACCTTAATAATTTGGATATATCATAACAGTTATCTTAGTCAGTTTCAAGTACTGATAAATAGAAGATATAATGAGAGCTACTGTCAGAGGCCAGTTTGGTTACAGGATGAGTAGGTGTGATGATGATGAATCACCACAGTCAACGAATTGACCTTCAAAGCAAGATCGGGCAGTTCGATCACGGAATAAACTGTGTCGGCTGAGTTGGGCTAAGCCCTATGCTCGACGAGTAACACGAGGTATAGCGTGTCCGAGATGAATGCTGGAGAGGAACAAAAGGCTTGGGCAGAGGTTGTTTGAAGAAGGACTTGTGTAAGACACTTGGACGACATTTGTCACACCGTGACTGTAAACGATATTTTCTATTAGTGACGATTAGCAAGGACAATATTTGTGGTTAGGCTTTAGATATGTTGTGTTTCCATACAGTGGTTTGACAAGATTGTTCATCTGTAATGTTTCTTGTGTAGTAGAAGTTTTCACGCAAAATCTGTTAAGCAGGTAGTTAATTTTGTCATGCATTGTTGGTGGCGTTAACGCTGCCCACTCATACTTAGATCACTCACCTTACAAGTGCCACTGAGTCTCATGTGGCGAAGAATTCAGAGAAATTTGACTAAAAAGCTCAACCAAATGGGGAAGCAGAAAAACATGCACAAAACAACACAAAAAACGTAGCAGAAAAACTTGAGTCAAATTTATCTGGAATTACTTGTATTAGCTTGACTGCAGTCACCCCCATATTTTCACTCATGTAGCAAGGATGACAGCTGAGTTAGCAATGTACGACAGTGAGGTGAAATCGATTCCTTTGGTATATTCATAGGAACGGCTTGGGTGGATTAGTGAATGTAAAAGCTACCACCGCTGGCATTTCAGATTAAGGAACGTCCATTGCTGTTGAGGCTTGCTTTAGGTTGAATTGTTCATGTACATTAAAGATTACTCCTTAGGGGTGTGCTTTAAGTGTGTTCTAGGGTTGTTAAGTCTGTTAGCTGGCCTACCCAATGAGCGAGAGTAAGTAGATAATAAAGTAGGTCTTTGACAGCTACAAAAATCAAAAGAAATGTAAAAGGACTTCATTTTAAAACTTACTTTTCTCACAGAAAGTTCCAAAAGCGTCATCCGTTGCACACTGGTTACAAGCGGTCCCAGCAAAATTCTTATTACATGAACACTGGCCTGTTCCATCTTTGCCAGCAGAGCACTTTAAAAAGTTAAAACCAAAGAAAATTGCTGGTCATAATTACACGGCATCTAATTTCACTGATACAGTTTAATTAACTCCATGGTGGAAAATATTTTGATATCTGCACATCAAATAAATATACTTTAATTTTGGCCTATGCCAGAATTATAAAATTATGGTAATCTAGTCTTCTGTTTACATGCCTAAAAGGAAACTACCAAGGAAGTAAAGGCAGCTGATATAATGATGTCGTTACCCACTGAGTACACAGTCATTTTAAATATGAGGCTAGTACCATTCACCCAAAAATAAATCACAGTATGGAATTGTTTTTTTCCTTCCTTTACTTATTGACAAGAGTTCTGTTTTCTAATTTTGTACACTGTTATCATAATGGAAATGCTTGGATTTATCAATTTTCGTATACGAGGGTAAGTCAACAAGCAAGTCACAAACTGTTGTTTAAAAGAAACTAAAGATGATAACAACTTGAAAACCATTTATTTTTACACACACTCACACACTGTACCCCCAACTTAAACAAATTGATTACCTCCACTGAAACCTTTTTTTTTTCCAATGTTAAATTAGTTTATTCTGCTGAGCTTACATATTCAGTTGAACTTTGCTGAAGTCCATCTTGGAGCCTAAAGCCTTAGTAACTTTCAGCACATTGTCTTTGACAGTCTTGGAAAGAGGTTTGCACTCTCCTGCTGTGACCACGTCCATAATCTCAACATCTCTCAAGCAAGATTGGAGATGAATATTGAGATTCTTGTGCCTTTTCTCAAATTGGCAGTATGTCCTCACATAATAGAGGTACCCCTAGCGAATAACAACTGTCCTTGTCATCCTCATTTTCAGCACTCTTCCAGACAGAAAACGTCCATAAATGCACACGTTTCCTGTGAATGGGCGTTTCTTGTCAATGTATGGTTCATCAACAGCCTCTCTTGACTGACTGACTGACTTTCTACTCCACTAGGACATCACACAAGCGATAAACACCCGATGACACAAAGTGCCACCATGTAGGTGAGGATCGCCGTGGAGAGGTCCCAGAAACCGCGTTCAGACATTTGGCCATAATGATGACCTGCCTATATTGCGGCCCCTGGCAAAAGCCAGAGTATGGCTTCAAATAACAAAAGATAACGTCCTTAGAAGGACGTGATGGATATATATGTGACAGCCTATCTTAGAGTTTGAACCCATGTCCCACAGTTCACACATATCTCAGATTGTTCTTTAACTTTCCCTGTATACATATTAAATGCCTCACTTAAAAATATTGATTGCCCTCTCTTAAACATATTGATTACCTCCACTTAAAAATACTGATTCCCTCCTCTTAAACATATGAAACGCCCCCACTTGAACATATTGTTTACCTCCACTTAAACATACTGATTACCTCCAATTAAACATACTGATGACCTCCACTTAAAAATATTGATTATCTCCACTGAAATATATTGATTAGCTCTACTCAAACATATTGATTAGCTCTACTTAAACACAATTACCTCGACTGAATACACTAATTTTTTTCCACTTTAATGCTGATTACCTCTACTCAGACACATTGATTAAGCATAATTACCTCCATTCAGTAAATTGATTACCTCCACTTAAAAATAATTACCTCCTTTCAACATACAAATTGCCATCACTCAAACATTTTGATAACATCCACTTAAAAACAATTATAACCTCCACTTAAACGCATTTACCTTCACTCAGTAGACAGACAACCACCATTGAAACACCAATTATCTTCACTTAAACATACAGATCACCTTCACTTACTTTTCCATTTCCACTACAAGGATTTGTGAAACCTCCAGGACAAGGGCTACAGCTCGAGCCATAGAAACCAGAACAGCAAACCTGTCTCTGTGCAAAGTGTAGTATATGGTGATAAATTCATGTCACTGACACTGTCTTTTACTCAACAGACATAATCAGGGTATACAGTAGTCTACATAAATGGTGTGCTGTAACTGCATCCAATGAGGATTTAAACATTGGTGGGGAAGGATATAAGAGAATTGTAGAACACAGCTGGTACCAGCTGGGAGAAACATCTCTGAACAGCCATACATAAACAATGTCCCAACACAACATGCTTCAACTTTTCAAAAAGACTTTGCATGTAAACATGAAAGTGCAGCCCATCATCAAGTATGAGAACCGCTGCATTTCTGTTGCAGAACAACATTAACATTCTTCATCCATGGCCATCACTTTACCTGACATTAACCCTTAACCACAGGTTGACAGCCATGTCCAAAAAGCCACCAAATGCTCTCAAAATCTGTTACATCTTGAAAATATACTTACACCTGCTTGAAAAAATCCACCAAAAGGTGAAATCTAAAACTTATACCACTCAATGAGATGCAGCTGTGAAAATATGATTAATGCCAGAGGACAAATCACTCACTAAGGAGTGTGACTTTTCATTCTGACCCCACTACCTCTTTAAGTATCGCCTCACTTCTGTCAGAAAATGTTGTTGCAGTCAGACACAAACTACACTAGTTATTGAAGAATATATGAAGTGTTAACTTTCTTTTGCAAGTAAGTATATTACAAAATATGGCAAAAATATCATGCCTACTTGTACTAATTGCTAGTAAAGGGTCCCATACTGGATAATCTATCCTAGAACAGCAATTTATTGCCAAATAATTATGTTTATGAGATCCTTTATTCCAGGTACACACATATTAAAAAGAATAAACATACTGGCACTCAGGACAAATTAGATGCATGCTCTGTCTCTCTCTTAACCAAAAAATAATTATACAGGAGTACTGCTTGTTCTTTGAGAACTCCGGTCAATTAATGAGACATTAAAATTATGAAAATAAATAACACCTATAGTTCCTGGACCCTATAATGAGGTCTTGTGACACAAATCAGACCCTGGAACCTATAATGAGGTCTTGTGACAAAAATCCGGTCCTGGAACATATAATGGGGTCTTGTGACATGAATCAGTCCCTGGAACCTATAATGGCATATCGTGACACAAATCTGGTCCTGGAACCTATAATGGCATCTCCTGACACAAATCAGTCCCTGGAACCTATAATGGGATCTCGTGACACAAATCAGTCCCCAGAACCTATAATGGGATCTTGTGACACAAATCAGACCCTGAAACCTATAATGGGATCTTGTGACACAAATCAGTACCTGGAACCAATAATGGGATCTCGGGACACAAATAAGTCCCTGGAACTTAAAATTGGATCTTGTTACACAAATCAGCCCCTGGAACCTATAATGGGATCTCCTGACACAAATCAGTCTCTGGAACCTATAATGGGATCTCCTGACATAAATCAGTCCCCAGAACCTATAATGGGATCTTGAGAAAATGAATCAGTCCCTGAAACTTATAATGAGATCTCATGACAAATTTCAGTACCTAGAACACATAATGGGATCTTGTGACATGAATCAGTCCCTTCCAACCTATAATGGGATCTTGAGACACAAATCAGTACCCAGAATTTGTAATAGGATCTTGTGACACGAATCAGTAACACGAACCTGTAATGGGATCTTGTAACACAAATCAGTCCCTGGAACTTATAATGGGATCTCGCTACATGAATCAGTCCCTAAAACCTATAATGAGGTCTTGGGACACAAATCAGTCTCTGGAACCTATAAAATGATCTCCTGACACAATTCAGTCCCTGGAACCTATAATGGGATCTCGTGACACAAATCAGTACCTAGAACCTATAATGGAATCTTGTTACACAAATCAGTCCCTGGAATCTATAATGGGATCTTGTGACACAAATCAGTCCCTGGAATCTATAATGGGATCTTGTGACACAAATCAGTCCCTGGAATCTATAATGGGATCTTGTGACACAAATCAGTCGCTGGAACCTTGGGATCTTGTTACACAAATCAGTCCATGGAACTTATAATGTTAACTTGTGACACAAATCAGTCCCTGGAATCTATAATAGAATCGTTTTACACAAATCAGTCCCCGGAACCTATAATAGAATCTTGTTACACAAATCAGTCCCTGGAACCTATAATAGAATCTTGTTATACAAATCAGTCCCTGGAACCTATAATAGAATCTTGTTACACAAATCAGTCCCCAGAACCTATAATGGGATCTTGTTACACATATCAGTTCCCGCAACCTATAATAGAATCTTGTTGAACAAGTCAGTCTCCGGAACCTATAATAGAATCTTGTTACACAATTCAGTCCCTGGAACCTATAATAGAATCTTGTTACACAAATCAGTCCCTGAAACCTATAATAGAATCTTGTTACACAAATCAGTCCCTGGAAGCTATAATGGGAACTTGTGACACAAATCAGTCCCTGGAACCTATAATAGAATCTTTTTACACAAATCAGTCCCCGGAACCTATAATATAATCTTGTTCCACAAATCAGTCCCTGGAACCTATAATAGAATCTTGTTACACAAATCAGTTCCTTGAACCTATAATGGGATCTTGTGACACAAATAAGTCCTGAAACCTATAATGGTATCTCCTGACACAAATCGAATTATAAACTAATGAAACAAATGGTTTTTATTTTTTTAAAACAAATATCAGAGGTCCATTGGAACAGTTAGACTTGTGTAGAGTCCTAATCGCATTGAAATTGAAGTATAGTGAGTGGCCAACAGGTGCCACGGATGTGGAAAATCAGCAATTTATTAGTATAATGCTCGCTTGCATAATGTGATTATTTATTCAGTTAGTTCAGTGTCAAGTGGCAAAATAGGTGTCTTGGGATTCTTAGAAAAAGGTAATGGTCAACGTTTAGTGCAGGAGAGCCTAGCATATGATACCACAACATCCAGCTTAAGAATTCAGTTAGAGGCCTAACTGCAGCTTTCCGTTGGCTACAGAACAGGATTTGCACAAACAATGTGATTGTAATTGACTCAGAAAGCATTCTGAGGAATGTGAGAACTGGCATGCTTTGTGCAGAGTGGCACGCTTTGCTTCGGAGGTCATGTGTAAAGAGAAATGTCTTGGTTTTTTCTTTGGGCTATGCCAGTGTGTCGGGAAATGAACTGGCCGACAGACTGGCTGGCTCTACACAACTTAGTGGAATACTGATGTATGATAAGGCAGATGTGGCTAAGACCTTATAGTGGAGAGCACATGTACAGTTTGGAACAGCAGACTGATCATCACAGTCTGGTAAGAGTGATGCAGCGAGGAGTGAGGAGAAGCTCTGATTGATACTGGACGCTCAGAGGAAAGGCAAGATGGACAAATAATCAGACTTATATTGGCACCATTGGTTTTGGAACTCTAGGTTGGCTGCTGAAGATGGGGACAGGGTGCTTATGGGAATACCCCATGTTGGATCTTAAATGAAATGAAATCTAAAAAATCTAAAACAGTTTTAATTTGGAAATGCACAGCAACTGGAAATCTTACCTTCGTGTGTCGCATGCAAATTGCAAAACAAGTGGAAAAAGGAGGAGTCTCATAGCTCCAGAGCGGGAGACTGTGATACCTCCAACGTATTCTATAACTGAAAGAATAATTTCTATTACCATAATGGGATAAAGAACACTTCTCTCTTTCACCCTGCAAAGAGAGTAAAAAGTATCAATATTAGCTGGTCTTCCAAGAATGCAGTAATATTTTGTTTTCCTGCATAAAACATCAATATAATTCCTCTTACATGCCTGTTGCAAACTGATAAACTTGAGAATCTAAATTCTGAATCTCCTAAAGGATTTCCGGGGGGGAAAAAACTAAGAATAAAAAAATTATAGAATTTCTAAAATAATTAAAAATTGTTTAACGAATGAACTGAATGCCGGTCCAAAAATTAACCAACAGCTTTGCAACCTGAGGTAAACAACTTGGCTACTTTTCCACAACAGCAACCAAATATTAAAAATCCGTTGCAGCTTCAGAAGGTTGCTGACTATTCTGAAGACAGCCAAAATGAGTAATCATCATGTTTTGAAAAAAGGCCAAGATATGGAGATACTTTATCACAAATATTAGAAAGAGGCATATACCTCATTTATTTGTTGGCCATAAAACAGAAGAGAAACTCTGGAGTATGTTGTAACAACTGGAAATTTTGTTTATGGGGAGTGTGGTGAAAGTAAATGACAAGTTAATTTCTTGATAGCTCGGTGCACTTTACGTTTCCTGGCCCAGGATGAGAGTGACTTCCCTTGCAATTCATAAATCGCAGTGTCACAGGGCTTGCCCTATGTTCCCGGGGTGTTGCGTTTAGTGACTGGCTACCAGCACGTAGCATTTTACTAGCTGCTGTCACCGGCCAGTGATATCATGTGTTGTATATTCTTAGATGTGAGCTTAGGTCGCACAACTGTATGTAGCGTATATTATAGGCTGCATGCAGTCATCGGACGTAGGCTTTACTCTCTCATGGGATGTAGGGGGGAGTTGAGGTTAGGGCCAGTTCTGCATGTGTTGGGACTGTATCGCTGGCCGGTGACATAATGTGACAGCCCGGCAACATAGGAAAGGCCCTGAGACACAGATATTTAGGAATGGCAAGGGAAATCACTCTCATTCTGGGCCGGGAAACGTAAAATGAACCAATAACTTTTTTCTATCTCATGGGGAAGTGTCATACATGCGGTTGAAGATCATAAGTTGTGAAACGTGACTGACCATGCCAGTTGGCAAGGCCCTTGTTGAAGATGTTTAGAAAGTACAGCTTGGAAATTGGACAATTTATTGAGTATACTACTTAACCGTCGGTGTCTGTGGCTTAGGCATTACGACCATGCTTCGTAATGCCGGGGTGCCGGGTTCGATCCCAGCTGTGAGCCTTGTGCCCTGCGTTGGTTTCCACAGTGGTCTCAAGGAGCTGACCGTCCAGAAAGCAATGGAAAACTACTGGACGTTTATTTGCCTAGAAAAACCACAACAGCAAAAAAATGCTGGGCTTGGTTCTGCAACGTCCTTTAAAGGACACGCAACTAACTACATAACCATCAGTGCCTTTGGCTTAGGCATTGCAAACGCACTTCATAATGCCAGGGGAGGGGGAGCTGGGTTTGATCCCAGCTGTGGGTGGATTTGGCAGCAGAACATCCTGCATTGGCTTTTGACAATGGTACCAAGATCATTCAGAAAGCAATGGCAAACTACTGAGTGTAAAATTTGCTGGGAAAAACAACTACCAAAAAAGTGTTGGGGTTGCTTCTGCAACGGCACGTAAAGGATACACAAAACTACCATTTTTTTTTTCACTTCCTAAACACTAAGATAAATAAATACCTTCCTGTAAGAATAATTTTCAAAACAGACAAAAGTCTTACTGTTGGTTTATCTGTAGACCAAGGACAGGGCAATCTGGCGCCACATAAAATACAAGGTCCCTGTGATGAGAAAAGAAAAGAAGAAAATAATAATAAAGGATGATTTAAAAAAAAATAATAATTACCACAGTAATTACAGATAAAATAATAGCCATGAAATGTCATAAGTTACTCCCAAAACTAATATCAGTTTTTTGGCGTGCTAAGTGACAGCAAATCTGGCGTTTTAACTGTCTATAATTAGGAAAGATTTAAAACAAAGTTCTCCTCCAGTAAATTAATTACTTGTATTCCATCCAATTAACTTCATTTTCTGGACAAATTTGACTTTTTAACAGTCTTTATTAGTCAGGTATGAATAGACAAATAGTCTTTATTAGTCAGGTATGAGAAGACCAACAGTCTTTATTAGTCAGGTATGTTGTTGAATGTTGAATTAGGAATCGACATCACAGCACTCAGGACATTCCCATAAGCGCTAAATCCCCATCCTCAGCAGCAAGCGAAGAGTTAAAATTCCGATGGTACAAGTAACTGTCTGATTGTATATCCGTCTCACCCCGTTCCCAAGTGTCGAGCGTCGGCCAGATCCCCTTGTAACTCCTTGCAGTGCTATTCTCCTCAGACCGTAATGATTGATTTATTCTGCTGCACTGTTCACAAGCTCTGTGAGGACATGCTCTGTGACTTCAGAATGTCTTTCCTCAACCTACTTTTTTGTCTATGTATTTTAAAGTATACCGAAAAATATGGTTTTGGATGTATCCTAAATCTAATTAAGGTGACCAGAACAAACCTATTTAATTCTTCTGGACTGCTGGTGATATCAAACACTGAGACTTTTTCCAAAATGTAACGTGTTAAGGCAAAGATAAAACTTAGCAGGTAGACTATGTGGCACCAGTGAAATTGAAAGCACAGACTTAGTGGCTGGAGATTTTGCTTGCAGAACTGAGGTGTCAGATAATTATCTCCCAACCAGACCTTTAGGAGCAGATAACTCAGGCTAATTGTGATTATCTCCCCCTGAGGTTACCCAACTTGAGTGCCGGTCAGATCGCCAGTATTGACATGGTCTGGTGAAGGTGTTAGCAAACAACCTGGCAGGTTGAAGTAGAGGAGGAAGGTGTGACTTTGCTTATGAGCTCTAGCCAGCTTGATGGACCAGGAGAATGTAACTGTGGGAATGCCAACAAGTGTTGTACAGTCCTGACACATTGAATAGACTTACCCACGGGGAGGAGCTGTGACATCCTTGAATGAGAGTGGTTTTAGGAGTAATGTAGGAGGAGCTTAGAAGAAGTTATAAAACGGTGAACTCTAGGGCTAGGAAGTGAGACTCTGCCATCAGCACACCATCTGTTGGGCTTAAACCCTAAGCTTGAGACAGAACTTTTTGCATTGTGTTTTCATTTTCCAGGTAAGTGAAACTATTTTCAACTTTTATTTTGTGATAAAAATCTGTCTTTTTGCTTAAGTGTGTGCCTTCATCACTTTGTAGTACTCCTTAGCGGACATTTCTCCATTCTTGTAATGCACTGTCAAATTGCTTTATATCATAATGGATATTGTAATGAATGTTTTTTCGTGCACATGTGTTTCAATGGTGTATAACTTAAATGTTGATGTTACCATTGAAATGTAATGAACTTTTAATTTTCTGAAATCACAAGCATGAAGATAACTTTGGCAGTCTTTTCACGTGTGGTTAATTTACATCTATATATTACATACAGCTAACACACTGCAATGAGTTTAACTCCCAGGAGGCTAATGCGGAGATTGATCACGGAAAGTAAATCCATGAAATTTGTTATTTTATATCGCCCCAGAAATATTGTTATCATTCTGGGCACGTCCATTATTCCAAGCATTAATTCCAGAACTTGTTCTGTCAAACTGATTGTCATTTTAAGTCTGCATGAGAGATGACATCAGACATAGAAGACTTAACTATTATTACAGGACGTGAGTAGAGGAAGGCAGGAAATGTAACGGCTTAAATTTTAGACGAAGTCCCTCCAGTTTGGACAAGAGAGAATGTGAATATGAGGGAGAGATGAAATGTTTTTTTAGAATAGACATGTTTGGTTTTATTAAAATAGACATGTTTGGTGTAAGTCAAGATACTACACATATGTGCTTGTTTTTTTTTACCACAGTTCCCACATTTGGCAGGGACTAGTAGGCATCCATTCTTTGCTGAACGTCTGCGTTTAACGACCTGCTTGAAGCAGCTAGGATGACAAATTGGCAAAGGATAGGCAGGGTCTCAAATTGAAAACTGCCTGAAGTTTACTTTTTTTCCAATTTTATGAGTTATGTATAAATTTCATATGAAATAATTTCATCAGTAACACCATCTTCACTCTACTAGCCTAAACACATTCATTTTATTTTTGGTTAGATTTATTCAATAAATCTTGTTCATGTTGCTATACAATAGTTGAGTAAATTGTGTACTTAGGTTCAAGTGTCTTTGTGCATACTAGTTTACTGCAGCTCACAAATATGTAAATCACTTGATAGGGGCTTTTGTTACAAATTAATGCCAGGAGAGGAGAAAGTCGGAGGGGTTAACCAGGAACAGAGTTGGTGCTATCGCATTGCCCTGGGGAACTCCTTCTCTTAGTTTTGCCAGTTTGCCGATGTGTCCATCAATTCTGAATCTGGCTCTGCGTTGGAAAAGAAAGTCTTTGATCCACTTGTACATGTTGTGCACAACTCCTGCCTGTAGCAGTTTTAGTTGTAGGCCTTCTTTCCAAACTGTATCGAAAGCACGAGAGAGGTCAAAGAAGACAGCAAGAACATTATTTTTTTTCCTTTAAGGCATTCTCTATTTTCTGTGCCAGATATGTCAACTGGTCCTCTGTGTTTCTGTGCTGTCTGTATCCTGTCTGTGTGGTGGTGATTACAGAGTTTGTCTCCAAGAACCACATTAGTCTTTTATTTACTAATTTCTCTAATATTGCATAACTTTCTCATTGTTACCAATCCATCTAGATCTAAATTATTCACATGATTTAACAATAGTCATTTCACTGTTGCATGGAAACCAGTGGAGCATGTCAATGGTTTTGGCCTGTGCCTCTGACTGATACCTCATACTCCTGACTGGATTTTTGTGTGTACGTAAAAATCAAATGCAGAAAAGCTGAATTGGAAAGGAATGAGCAAATGAATCAACAAAGGAACAAACTTTTTTTTTCAAAAGCTCACAACTTAGGCATGCAGGACTTTCTTAAACATCGCTCTTCCAAACTCCTCTTTTATCCTGCTACATACTATGTTCATATTACAGTATACATAAAACGAATATCAAGTAACATACACAAACACATAGATGGTAAATGCATATATTCAAATATACCTGGATATGGCGCACACACACACACACACAGACATGCACTCATGCAAGCGCGCGCACGCACACACACATGCACGCACGCATGCACCCACGCACGCACCCACCCACCCCTGGGCATGAACCCAGACCACAAGGAGTTTGTCACCCATTCGCAGCACAGTCAGGTTTAACCAGCTGAGCTAGCGAGTCGGTCGAAGTTTAAAAATAAGCCAGAAAGTTGCAGACAGAGAAGATTATCAACACCTTCTTTTTCTATCCTACCGCTTATACCATAAAGTGTCACAAAAATCAGAATTGAAACTCTTCGCTTGCTGCTGAAGATGGGGGACGGAGCACTTATAGGAGTGTCCTGAGTGCTGTGGTTTTCATTCTTAATTCAACATTTAACATTCACAGAAAAGCGTTAGATATAGTTTCCTGACTTTTTTGCCCTACTGCTTATGCAGTAGTAGTGTCTCTTCTACTCCATCCACCCATGTTTTTCTTGGTCAGCCTCTTATCTGGTAGCCTGCTGTTCTCATATAGTACACTCTAGCTGCTGGCTGATCTATCAGTACCACATGATACATACTTTAAGGAAAGAAGAATCTATTTTTTAGATGTTCAGAGTATCTAGAATTTCTTCAATAAATTATTTGATCGACAGTATACTGAAAGAAAAGTGTTTTAAAGCCATAACTTATTTTAAATAAAAACTTGACTTCACACAGTTTCTTTATGATTATTTACTTACATCAACAAGTTCTTTTTCGTTGGCTTCACAGATGTTTGTCATGAAAGGTTTTAAGTATGATGGGACTGTGACTTTATCCACTTGATGACACAAACCAGAACGGATTGGAATGTTAGCCCTGATTATATTGACATCAGAATTTAGTTGTATCTGACCCTAGGTAAAAAAATAATGTTGTGAAAAATTGTTTATCATATAATTATACTAAACTAATAGGTCGTGTGTATATGATGCATACATATATGTATTGTATGTATATCAGTAATACGTTATTAAACTTTTCTAAATGCTAGCTACTTGATAATTTACACTTCAATTATTGCCACGGGCCGTGATTTTCATGCTTCCCTATTATCTGGAAAGACAAAAAGGTGCTAATTCTGTTCAGCCATTCTGGATTATAATTATATCATCATCAATTTTACCTTCTGCCTTTAAATGGCATGTGGAAGAACAGTTTGTGTTCCATTGCTTGGTGGGCAGCGGTTACTACTGTCATTCCGTGAGGATGCAGAAGCTCTTTAATTTCATTGCTCCATGTTCTCCTAGGGTGACTTCTTGTTATGTATCACGTGACAGAGATTTTTGTGTGTGCACACATGGTCGTGTGAATGTGTATGCATGTGAGTGCCCAAGCATATGTGTGGGATGTGAGAAAATACATTCTTGCTACCACATGATTATCTTGTACTCACCTGTAGCGAGACGTGAACTTTGAACTGAATATTTGCAAATGATTTCATAGTCTGTAAGTTGATCAGGTCAGTGACATCAATGACACCAGGGAAAATATGAAGTTTTAAAATCACGGCCAGCTTTGCTAGTCCATCCTGGCAAAAACAAAATGGAAGTTTATTAAAAATAATCTGGAATAAAGGCACGATAATAATAAACCAGCAGCAAATATTTTTGACACTGCCAACACTGCTTTCATCTTCTTGAACTTCTTCCTTCTTTCTATATGTCAGGTTGGGTCTTAAATGAGCTATTAACCGACATCACAGCACTCGAGACAGTCCCACAAGCACTGCATCCCCATCTTCAGCAGCAAGCACAGAGTTCCAATACCAGTAACAGTCTGATTGTGTATCCGTATCACATCTCCCCTGAGTGTTGAGCATTGGCCAGGTTTCCTGGTCACTCCTCATGGCACCAATCTCTTCAGACTTTCATTAACTGTTTGTGCCTCATCACTGCTCACTCACTCCCAAAAGGTTCCTACAAGATCTAGCTCGTCATGCACTGTTCACTCACTCCCAAAAGCTCCCTACCAGATCTAGCTTGTCATGCACTGTTCACTCACTCCCAAAAGGTTCCTACCAGATCTAGCTCGTCATGCACTGTTCACTCACTCCCAAAAGGTTCCTACCAGATCTAGCTCGTCATGCACTGTTCACTCACTCCCAAAAGGTTCCTACCAGATCTATCTTGTCATGCACTGTTCACTCACTCCCAAAAGGTTCCTACCAGATCTATCTTGTCATGCACTGTTCACTCACTCCCAAAAGGTTCCTACCAGATCTATCTCGTCATGCACTGATTTACCAACAAGTGGTGCAGAACCAGGTGGTTTTCATTCTTAATTCAACATTTAACATTCACAGAAAAGCGTTAGATATAGTTTCCTGACTTTTTTGCCCTACTGCTTATGCAGTAGTAGTGTCTCTTCTACTCCATCCACCCATGTTTTTCTTGGTCAGCCTCTTATCTGGTAGCCTGCTGTTCTCATATAGTACACTCTAGCTGCTGGCTGATCTATCAGTACCACATGATACATACTTTAAGGAAAGAAGAATCTATTTTTTAGATGTTCAGAGTATCTAGAATTTCTTCAATAAATTATTTGATCGACAGTATACTGAAAGAAAAGTGTTTTAAAGCCATAACTTATTTTAAATAAAAACTTGACTTCACACAGTTTCTTTATGATTATTTACTTACATCAACAAGTTCTTTTTCGTTGGCTTCACAGATGTTTGTCATGAAAGGTTTTAAGTATGATGGGACTGTGACTTTATCCACTTGATGACACAAACCAGAACGGATTGGAATGTTAGCCCTGATTATATTGACATCAGAATTTAGTTGTATCTGACCCTAGGTAAAAAAATAATGTTGTGAAAAATTGTTTATCATATAATTATACTAAACTAATAGGTCGTGTGTATATGATGCATACATATATGTATTGTATGTATATCAGTAATACGTTATTAAACTTTTCTAAATGCTAGCTACTTGATAATTTACACTTCAATTATTGCCACGGGCCGTGATTTTCATGCTTCCCTATTATCTGGAAAGACAAAAAAGGTGCTAATTCTGTTCAGCCATTCTGGATTATAATTATATCATCATCAATTTTACCTTCTGCCTTTAAATGGCATGTGGAAGAACAGTTTGTGTTCCATTGCTTGGTGGGCAGCGGTTACTACTGTCATTCCGTGAGGATGCAGAACATCACAGCACTCGAGACAGTCCCACAAGCACTGCATCCCCATCTTCAGCAGCAAGCACAGAGTTCCAATACCAGTAACAGTCTGATTGTGTATCCGTATCACATCTCCCCTGAGTGTTGAGCATTGGCCAGGTTTCCTGGTCACTCCTCATGGCACCAATCTCTTCAGACTTTCATTAACTGTTTGTGCCTCATCACTGCTCACTCACTCCCAAAAGGTTCCTACAAGATCTAGCTCGTCATGCACTGTTTCACTCACTCCCAAAAGCTCCCTACCAGATCTAGCTTGTCATGCACTGTTCACTCACTCCCAAAAGGTTCCTACCAGATCTAGCTCGTCATGCACTGTTCACTCACTCCCAAAAGGTTCCTACCAGATCTAGCTCGTCATGCACTGTTCACTCACTCCCAAAAGGTTCCTACCAGATCTATCTTGTCATGCACTGTTCACTCACTCCCAAAAGGTTCCTACCAGATCTATCTTGTCATGCACTGTTCACTCACTCCCAAAAGGTTCCTACCAGATCTATCTCGTCATGCACTGATTTACCAACAAGTGGTGCAGAACCAGCTAATCTATTTCATTGTATATTTCCCAACACAGTGGCATCCCCTGGAGAAAATATTACTAACTACCCGGGACCTCTGAAGTGATGCTTGCTACTCTGCACGAAGCATACATGTCTTCACCTTTCTCAACAAACTCTGTGAGTAGGTTATAATCTTGGCTGTTAAATATATTTAGATAAGACACTGTGAAGAGTACAGTAAAGTTTGACACCACTAATCTGTGACCAGTAAATAATATAACCAGGCAGGTTGTGAGAGTAGGTAGTTTATTGCTCTTTTATTGAGTTACAGAAAAATACATGTTTAAAAAGGTCAGGTCTGTAAGAGGTCGAAACAATACACTATTGCAACTTCCATTATCAGTACATAATTCTGTTATTACTTTTGAATGTAAATCAGTTTTGAAAAAACACTTCTATCTAAGTGCAGCCAATAAGAAACACTCCCTGGAATATAAGTTGAACCAATGATAATTAATCAACATTTCCATCTAAATCCAGCCAATAAGAAACACTGGAATATAAGCTGAACCAATGACATTAGTCAACACTTTCATCTAAATCCAGCCAATAAGAAACACTTACTCGAATATAAGTTGAATCAGTGACAATAACAACACTTGTTCTCCCCTTGTGGGTTCCAGGTCTCACTTTGTTGTGAAAAAATTAACAGACCCATTGGCCCTTTTCAATGATTAATTAAGATTTTGCTGACATTGAATGTGTTATGGCAAGAGATATAGATATTGCAGCTTAGCTGCAAACCACAACACAAGAATAACAAGGTTGAGGAGAAGAAATAGAAGAAGAATCAACACCCTGACGGTTGAAGTTTTTGATTACTTCAGTACTTACTTTATCAGTAGCCAAGTAGTTTTGATCATGCAGAGACAATGTGGTCCAAGCTCTGTTGTTGGTGATCAGCACTGTGATGTTTGGCTGGGAGAACATCTCAGAAAGGTTGGCAGCCTTCGATGGGTAGATTAAATAATATTAATCGATTTACATTCAACATTTCTGTGCTATAATGAATCAAAAGAACAAACATGGTGTAGCAGCAAGACACTCACCTGTGGATCAGAAGATCATCAGTTCAAATCCGAACGGAGGTGAATTTGAAATTTTTTTTTTTAAGAAAATTACTTTGGTTCCCAGATCAATCCAGACTAAAATTGATACCATGTAAAGTTCAAGGAAGTAAAGGCAGCCAGCATGATTTTGACCTCATCAACCACCGCATACCAATTGGTGTATAAAATATAGGTCTAGCCCCATATGCCTGAAAGTGTAGTAAAGGGCCTTTTACTTTACTTGTCACTTATAATGAATGAATACATTTGAGTGTCCTTATGATAGACTGTCGGTGTCTGTGGCTTAGGTGTTGTGAACATGATTCATATTTCCAAGATGCCAGTTTTGATCCCAGCTGTTGGCAGTTTAGCAACTCACCTAGTGCTGGACTTAACAGCAGTATCCAGAGCCAACTGTTTAGCAACTCACCTAGTATTGGACTTGACAGCCGTATCCAGAGCCAACCGTCAGGGCAGTTTGGCAACCCACTTAGTGCTGGACTTGACAGTGGTATACAGAGCCAACCGTTTGGGCAGTTTGGCAACCCACTTAGTGCTGGACTTGACAGTGGTATACAGAGCCAACAGTTTGGGCAGTTTGGCAACCCACCTAGTGCTGGACTTGACAGAGATATCCAGAGCCAACCATTTGGGCAGTTTGGCAACCCATCTAGTGCTGGACTTGACAGAGATATCCAGAGCCAACCATTTGGGCAGTTTGGCAACCCATCTAGTGCTGGACTTGACAGAGATATCCAGAGCCAACCGTTTGGGCAGTTTGGCAACCCACCTAGTGCTGGACTTGACAGAGATATCCAGAGCCAACCATTTGGGCAGTTTGGCAATCCATCTAGTGCTGGACTTGACAGAGATATCCAGAGCCAACTGTTTGGGCAGTTTGACAACCCACCTAGTGCTGGATTTGACAGCGGTATCCATAGACAACCGTTTAGAAGCAATGGTAAACTGCTGAATATAAAATTACCTAGTAAAATCACAAAAAGCCAAAAATACTGGGGTTGGTTCTGCAGCGTCCTGTAAAGGACACAGAACTAGCTTTCTGACCGATAGATTACACAACAGGATTATCCCAATGATTTTTTTTTTAAAGTGTACTTCAAATATATTAAACTTAAGAATTTATACTCTTACTAAGTGTTACAATTATTAAAAAATCTATTAAATAACCACATGGAGTCATCAAGAATAAATGTCCAATGTTGAATTATAAAATACTTATATTAATCCCAATTATAACCCAGTTGGACTGAACAGGATATTGTTGTTTAAACTACTACTACTAATTTCCTTATCAAAAACAATTTACTGCTTTAGAATCATCAAATTTGATAAAACAGTGGATCGATTAAAGTAATGGGGAGTTGGATAGTGATAGTAGCGACGTGAAATTTCCCCAAACCGTTGACAAGTCAAGTTTTGATGAGTATGTGTGCGTAATTTACCTCCTGCTAAGAGAACAAAACTGACTAATTCTGCCATGGCAACACAAGAGAAGCACCTTGTAATGCGACACCAGCTAGTCCAAATGTCAGCGCTTCTAGTACTACTATCCATATCGTCTAAAATCATATATATATATATATATATATATATATATATGAACAGGTTGACATGTTTACAGTGCCTTTACAGTTTTTTTCTATGTGAAGAATTCAATTGTTTTTAGAAAAGTCACTGTTTGTGCCACTGGAGAATATATTTTGACGTGTTATGGTAGTGTTATTTAAATTTCTATGGAACAACAACTATTGCACATTTTGCTTTAATATTGGCTGTGCATACTTATAAGTGGTGTACCTTCCTTTGTGATGCATTTTGGATATACTATATCAAGAATTTTGGGATCAGCTTCTGGGTAAGTGGAAACAACTTGTTCATAATTTGCTCACCTCTCAAACTAAGTCACTGTTATCTCTACTAAATACTAACTAACAGTATAATTGTTTGTTGTAGCAGTATGCTAATATTAATCCTTTTCCATTTATGTTTAATTTTATGTATGATATGTGTACGTTGGACACCAGCTGCAGTTGTGTGGCTTGTTTTAAAGTGCTGCATTTGTTAAAAGTCAAAATCATAATACCCCCTTGGGCCTCTGATGCAAAACCCCCTGGGACTCAAAGAGTTAAGTCTAAGTCATGAGAAGAGTAGCTTTACCAATTTTCTATAGTGACTTGTTTTCAAAATCCATATCTAACAGCACTGGAATCATTGTTCACATACACAAACATTTAGGAGGACCACAATCAATTATATTTAATTTAATAGTATTTATGGTCCGTAAGCTGATAGTTTGTGATTTTTGTTTGGTTATATGTATTTTTTTAAAAATAAGGAATATTTTTCTAGGTCACCAGAGTAAAAGGGTAAATCATTATCTACTCGAACAATTATAGCATTGAAAGAGTTTTAATATTTTGATTTACCCAGTAAAAATTAAAATAACATGAATAATACATACCCTAATCATTGAGTACATTGTACTGTAATCAGGCTGATGTTTGATCAGATCCATAACAGTTTCCTGCAGATGGAAGAGGGTTACTGTAGTTTGTCTGCTTACAGATGGGTAAAATATTGTTACTGGTATATGTCTATTTAAAGACAGGTGGAAGACTGTTACTACTTTATGTCTATTTACAGACAGGTGGAAGATTGTTACATTCTTCTGAATGTAACAGGAAATGAGGAAACAGTACCATTCACACCCAGATGTACAAACGAGGAACAGCCTACAATAATCGAACAAGAAGTCAGAGAAGCAATCAGATGCAGTCCCAAAAATAAGGCATCAGGTGTTGATGGAATATCAGCCGAGGCAATACAGGCTTGTGGAGAAATTGGAGTCACCTGGCTACTCCACATATTTAGGAAAGCCTGGAATGAAAGAACTGTACCAATAGACTGGCAAAGAGCTCTTATAGTCCCAATTTGGAAAAGAAAAGGCAATAAGCAAGATTGTAACAATTACAGAGGCATCTCCCTTCTAAGCCACGTAGGAAAAATGTTTGCCAAAATTCTGGAACAACGAATTAGATCCGTTGTAGAACCGATCCTGAGCCCATCACAGGTCGGATTTAGGAAAGGAAGAGGGTGTACTGACGCTATTTTTGCTTTAAGACAAGTTAGCGAAAAGACAATAGAACACAGACATCAAATGAACATCGCTTTCATAGATCAAGAAAAAGCTTTCGATAGAGTAAACAGAAATTTATTATAGAAAGTTCTTGAAAACTACGGTATAAATGGAACAATTTTAGATTGTGTTAGGGCTATTTATAGACAAAGTGAAAGCGCCATTAAAACAAGAGCTGGCATCACAGACTGGTTCCCAGTAACATCAGGAGTAAGACAAGGTTGTGTATTATCACCTTTACTTTTCATAATATTTATGGACAATATTAATAAAATAGACATAACACGAACAGATGTCGATAAACAGGAGGACTTCAATGAGCTGCTCTTTGCCGACGATCAATGAATATTTCACAGTGATAGTAAACAGCTGCAAGACCACATGAACCTACTACACGACAGTTGCCTCAAGCATCATATGAAGATCAATACTGAAAAGACAGAAGTCATGAGCATAAGTAGAGAGCAACAGACCATCGACATAAAGATTCTAGATCACAGCCTAAAACAAGTGCAAGAATTTAAATACCTGGGAAGTATCTTTACATCCAATGGTAAAATAGACAGAGAGATTGAAGCAAGAATCCAACAAGCCAACAATGTCGCATACCAGCTTGCCCCAATTTTAAAACACCCTGCTGTCCCAGCTGAGATAAAAAGACAAATTATAAAATCAATCTTTATACCGACATTAGGTTATCAATGTCAGACTTGGACATTAACAAAAGAACATGAGAGAAGACTAACCACCTGTGAAATGAGATGTTTGAGAATGGCTGCGAATAAAACCAGAAGAGATCGAGTGAGAAACGATGTGATTACAAGAACTATTGGAACCATACCCATCGTTTTATTTATTGAGAAGCAAAGAATGAAATGGTTTGGTCACCTAATGAGAATGGAACCAACGATGCCAGCATCAAGAGCATACAACATGAAAATCGAAACAACAAGAGGCAGGGGAAGACCAAGAAGAAGATGGATTGAAGAAGTCACGGACAACTTGAGACTTCATAACATCACGGCATATGAAGCGACTGAGCGCGCCCTGGCTCGGTTGCCGATCATCTGATAGACTGCGACGCCTAGCGGCACAAGCAGATTTTGACAAAAGAAGAAGAAGAAGGAAGTTTGTTACTGCTGTTTGTCTATTTACAGACAGATGGAAGATTGTTAATGTATGTCTATTTAGAGACAGGTGGAAGATCGTTACTACTGTATGTCTATTTACAGATAAGTGGAAGATTGTAAGTCAACAATGGTTTCTCCCAATGTCTATTTATAGACTGGTCAACAATGGTTACAATTGATGTCTATTTACACTCAGGTAAACAATGGTTACTCTCAATTTCTTTTTACAGACAGGTCAACAATGGGGACTCTCAGTGTCTATTTACAGACAGACTATCCTCTGCGTGATGGGCTGATCTCTGTGAATACCACATTTAGTATCTTTTTGCATATTTCTTTTTACACTAATACCACCAGTTTTTCTCTTCTGTTAGAGCGGCCAGAAGGGCAGAGTGATCTAAAAGCCCAATGCCTGCCTCTTATTTGTATATTATGAGCACAAATCACTTCATGGATTTTGCTATGCTTTTCCATGATCTAAAGTCAGCTATCAAATGTTGTTCCTCTTTGTTACAGGCACAAATCTAATAAAACCTTGCTACTTTAAAATTCCAGGTTTGTTGGAAATTTTTTAAATAATATAAACCGAAAAAATTTGATGCCGGTGAAAAAAAAAAGGGGGGGGGGAGAGGGGTGTTTGTGTACTGATGAAGATAGTCTAGCCACAGTGCCTTTTCAGTTATTGTGTTCATGTAAAGCTGACTAGTTTCACATTATATTTGTGTTGATTTTTATCAGTTCTGTATTGACAGCTTTACTACAGTTTCATCCATTTATTCTGTCCTGTGATCATTGCACCACAGTCCCGTGATCACTGCACCACAATCCCTTGATCACTGCACCACAATCCCTTGATCACTGCACCACACTCCCGTGATCACTGCACCACAATCCCTTGATCACTGCACCACAATCCCTTGATCACTGCACCACAATCCCTTGATCACTGCACCACAATACCATGATCACTGCGCCACAATCCCATGGTGAAAAAGAAAAAGTCAAGGATTGTTTTTCAAGCTGTGGCACATCTGGCATAAAGTGCTAGACCACTTTTTTTTCCTTAAATTAAGTAACTGTCCTTTCATCTGTGATTTGATCAATATCATACTGCCCACCTATATTTCCCAGGACAAATACCAGTACTCATTTTAGGCTGGGTCAACCTTGAATCCCAGACCATTTAAAAAGAAAAAGAAAATCTGGTACAAATCCAATAAGTTTGCTGTTGAATGAGTTCTGATAGTATTTGTTCTGTTTCTTCTAATCCAGTTTTCAAGATTTCTTACCTTGCTGTCTTCAAACTGATTATCCTTCAGTCCCATTACATCACTTATTAAATGTATGTCTCCATTTGATGCAACAATATCCCTTGCTATAATTTTAGATTTCTCTGTGCAGGCAGAACCGTAGGTCAGTTTGTAGTAGTAGTTCCAGAATGTATCATTCTCCTGATCAAGATAATGGTATAATGTGATCAAATTAAAACAAAAACAAAAATCAAATCATTGCACATAAAATAAAAGAAGCTGTTATATTGACTTCAAAAGAGACAGAAAGAAAAAGGGCTGTGCTGTGATACAGAAAGGTGGCCACACCAGCGGCACTATTGGAAAAGGAGGGGGGGGGGGGGGGTAGTAAGCAGCGGAATCAAACTACAGTTTGAACTTTTGACCCAACAGTTTGAAAGCTTTTAGGAGCAAAATTTGGAAGATTTGCATCACACTTACAAAATCCAGGCCACAGAACTGGTTAAAAGTTAGTGAAAAGGGGTGGGGTAAGACAAGAACTATGCAAGAACCTGAAAAGAAAAGTAAACCAACACAAAGCTGGTGTCATTGGCTGCTGCACTGCAGGATTTACTGAGAAGGAGATTTGATCCATGCCATCCTGCTCCCATAAATTTTCCTTCTCATACATCATTCATGTCCCACTTGTACACACATTTAAATCATAGTAAAGTACAAACATTGACATCTGTCATTCACCAGACATTGACATCTGTCATTCACCTGAGAGGATCACCTAACAAATTCTAACATCCTCCAACTTCTAAGTATTTCCTAACCATATAAGCCTACAGAATGTATGGAAAAACAAAAAGTTACACAAAGATCAAGCAAGAAACAATAAATGTAATTCCTGTTCAATATATATATATATATATATATATATATATATATATATATATATGTATCTCTCACAAAGACTCAAGGCCAGGGGAATTTACATACACTTTTTACAGACTGAGTTTCCTTTAGGCAGACAGTGATGGGAGTGATGTTCTGCGAAGGACCTGCTATGTGATGATAATGATGACTGATAATAAATTGTGTTGGTGAATAAATATATATATATATATATATATATATATATATATATATATATATATATATATATATATATATATATATATATATGTGTGTGTGTGTGTGTGTGTGTGTGTGTGTAAAATAAAAAAAAGTATATAATATCAATGAAGGAAAGCAATATTGTCACAACCCTATTAAGTACAGTCAGTGTACCACACCGTAAGGTGTGCACCCAGGGTTGACACAGAGGTCAGGGCCGTCACTGGTCGAGTCCGTTCTGTGATCGCACGGCGAAACCAGCGCTCAGGATAAAGCAAGAAAGCTTGAACTGTGTTTTAGTAACACGATGACTGCTTCTGGGACTGAGCTGGTGAACGGGGTCAAGAGACACGAGGGAGAAGGAAGAAGGACATTCGGTGTGCGTCAGTCAGGAAGAGAGGACGTTTAGTGACTGGATAGTTTATGTTATAGTATTAAAGTTAGGATATATTTCTGTTAGTGACTGGATAGTTTATGTACAGTTTTGTGTTAGGATAGGATAGTTCTTGTGTAGAGTATTTATGTATATGTGCTGTGAGAGAGTGGCTAACCTGGACACTCTGACCCTGCACTAGGACAGAGACTGTGACAGTTTGATTGGGTCAGCGTGGCGATAGAAGAGAGCGTATCCTGCCGGATTGTGGTTTGTACACCAGAGTATTGCCTGTCGCACGTACTGGGGACGGGGCGATTGTAAAGCCCGTCCAGCCAGAGGGTCCAGGCAATAGGTGGCCACACGGCGGGAAGTCAACTGTCTATGTATTACCTGTACTTCCAATAAAGATTGTCGTGTGTGCTCTGTGTGCGTTCGGGTTCAGTGTGTGTGTTGTAGGTTAGTCTGTCTGTCATAGGCCTAGTTAGCGAGCCACGGACCGGCAAGGTCATACCAGAGGTTTGTGACAGATTATGGGGGCGTTCGTCCTTGGGAATTGAATCTATAGTAGTAGCTAGATAGTAATAGTTGTCCGCGTTAATTGTGAACCCAATGTGCTTGTACTTATTTGTCTAAATAGGAGACATAGATAAGTTTGTATGTTTAGCTGACTGATTTATTTTTCTTTAAGTTTTGTCGTTCACTATTGTAGGGCTAACGTGATTGAGTTAATCCCTTAATTTTGATGTTGCTATCGAGTAAGTTTGTGATGGCGTAGCTGAGTTAATTCTCTCAAATATTGCATCGTTGTCCGGGCCTACTCTTAATTATTGATAGCGACATCGGGGTTGGCTTGGGTCACCCGTAGTGCTATAAAGTGATAGTTTGTTATCGTTTTCGTATTTGTTCCGACTGATTGTAATTAATAACGACTAAATGTGATAGGGCTGCGTTTGCGTCGTGACAAGTTAGTGACGTAGAGGAGAAATAGTTTAACGGACAGTAAAAAGGGTGAGGAAGGTCAAGATTGTGTGCTGTTGTGTGGTTGCTGCCGACACCAATCAACCGAGGCCTGTCGATCTCGGTCATCACCTCATCCTCATCATTCTTTCTGTGGGAGGCCAAGAATCAAGGACTGGAGAGAAGATAAGTTTGTTTTGCTTTTGGTGTATTGTTGTGGTCTGTTCTCCAGCCCTCGAGGGTTCTACGCAATTGTATTTGAGCCCCTGGCACCGTTCATTGTCCTTCTCATTTCTCGTCTGTCCTATTCATCATTTACGTTATTTTTGTGGGTGGTTGGCAGGGCTAGTCTTGTGTTGTCCCTAGTTGTCTAGTGTTGCTAGGTTAACATAAGATTACGTGTCAGCTATATTGCGATTCTAGTCTCGTCTGCAACTCGTTGTGCAGCCGGGTCTATTGTCAAGATATATGCTTGTAGCGTCTTGTTTGTAAATAATTATTGTCCAATCGTTGTGCTTTCCTGTCAATAAGTGTTTATCTAATAGTACGTTATCGTTCGTGCGTGTACCGTCTGATTTAGAGATTAATAATTTCTTCGAGGTGTTTTCGTGTGTGAAATTGTTTTCCACGTAGTGATACTAGTGCTGTTCATTTTTTTGTTAATTTTTTTTTGTGCACACACATCATCATCCCTTATTCGGAAATTGTAACGATTGAGTTTCGGTGACCCATCCCTTTCTGTATCGGAACAGTCCAAATTGTTCCATAATTATTAATATTGTTGGATTGAATTTATTAATTTGCTATAATTTTTGCATTGTTTTCACTGATTTCCGGGCTTGCCACTTGTAATTTTTAGTATTTTTGTTCGTGGCAGTTACGGTATTCAGGTGATTTGTTGAGTAGTTGTTTATTATTATTTTTGATTTTGAAAGAAAGATCACTGTTGTTGTAACTAAGATGTCGAGTCTATCTGAGTTCATCGAGATGGCAAAACAGCATGGTCTGACTGGCGAGAAGGCGCTAGAATGGGCAGACAAGAAATATGCCGATCTTCAAGAAAGAAAAGACAGAGCTGACGAGAGAGAACTCAAGAAATTGGAACTAGAAGCCGCTAGTAAATTAAAAGAGATTGAGGCTATCAACATAGAAAAACAGTTAGAAGCCCAGAGGAAAACAAAGGAGATTGAGGCTATTAACATCGAAAAACAGTTAGAAGCCACTGGTAAACTAAAGCAGATCGAACTGGAAGCCCAGGCGGCATTAAAAGACAAAGAAGTAGCAGCTCAGATAGCTCTTAAACAACAGGAGTTATCTGCGATGGCTGAGAGAGACAGGGTACAGTTGTTGATCAAGGATAAGGAACTAGAACACACCTCTATATTGAGACAAAAAGAGATGATATGCAATTCAGACCTAGAGAAAGAAAGGCTGGTGATGGAACTAAAGGCCAAAGAGATAGAAGCAACTAGAGATGCGGAGGTGCAGATGCGTAAGGCTGAGTTAAAGGCTGCTGAACCTTCTTTCAAAAAGTACCAGGGCCTAATAAAATTTTTTACACAGGGTGATTCCATATCTGCTTGGACACAAAATTTTGAATGTATGGTCAATCACTATGAGGTCCCTTTTAAAGAGTGGTCACTCATTTACCGAAAACATTTAGGGGGGGAACCTTTGAAATTACTAGAGACAATCCCTACTGAAAAACTTGAGGATTATTACTTTGTCAGGGATAGAATTCTCCAACACTTCTCCCTAGATGAGGAATCTTACAGAAATACCTTTAAAAATTTGATTCCGAAAGCTGAACAGACATTTCTGGATTACATGTCTGAGGTGGTATCCACTTTCGACAAGTGGGTAACATCGGCGAAAGTGAACAAATCATACGATTTGTTAAAAGATCTACTGATAAGAGACAAGGTGTTGTCAAGTGTCCCAAGCAGCATGACAACGTTTTTGATTGAGCAAAAACCTGAAACAGTAAAGCAGATGGAAGATGCAGGTGCTGCGTATTGGAATGCACACAGAAACATTTTTAGTTTCAATAAGGGTGCAGATGTAAGTTACGGAGCTGCAGTACAACCTGTATACAGGAAAAAGCAATATACTCACGAGAAGAAAGGAGAATACTCAAGAGAGTATAAGAGCTACAGACCTGTAAGAGATAAAGGTCCAATAGTTACATGCCTTTACTGTAAGAGAGATCATGGTCAACGGCAGTGGTGCGAAATGAATCCGAAGTATGAAGATCATTTTCGTAAGAGAGAGAAAGAAATGCATGAGAAAAGCTCAGTAAACTACCCACTCCAGTGTCGCCTGTGCGACTCGATTGATCATTTACAAAAAGACTGTAAGATGAGAAGAAGACAGCATCAGAGTGCAGCTGCAGAAATATCTGACAGTGGCAGTGACTCTGGAAGTAGGTTCTCTGATGGGAGTATGGCAGATGTACCTACAGCAAATTCAGCTGAGCTTGTGAACTTCTCTGACACAGGATGCCAGACCTACAGAGGGTTTAATGAAGAGGGTAATCTGACCTGTGGTCACAGTGAGATAGGGGATGCAAATGCTGTAACGAGTTTCGATGGCCAGCTGAAGTTCACGAAAGGGGTAGTTAATGGAAAAGTAGTGACAATTTTACGGGATTCTGGGTCGACAGTTTTTGGTATAAGAGAAAGTCTAGTGAATGCGTGTGATTTGACGGGTGAATATATTGTATGTCGAACCTTTTCAGGGAAGAAAGAAAAGTATGATTTGGCATGGG